TCTGTGGCTGTGCCAGCTGGTGACGCGCCCTATTTTTTTTGCCCCGCGTCTCGGCACATGCCAGTATGCTGCTGGATCTCTTTCTGACCACGCATCCTGTCCCTTACAGCTCTGCTGTCCTATCTCCCCTGGGTAATTCAGACCACTGTGTTGTGGAGGTTAGGTTTCGGTCAGAACCCGCTGTTTCAGCAGAAACTTCTTCTCTACCTTTCCCTGGAGAAATGTCTGTTTCACTGACGCGGATGCGTCGGCTGTCTGTTATTCGATAACCGAAAGTATCCACGTCGTTTTCGCAATCAAAGACATTTGTGTGGAATGGACTGGGATATGTCTCAGGGTACCTCAGAATGTTTTATTTATTTTTTGTCGTTTAACAGAGCAATGAAGTTTTTTATGTTTGAATCTTTAATATTATTACACTAGTTAATTATAAATGCCACGTACTCTCATATTATAAAATATCGGAGTTATGAGGGTTTCTGAGCAATTTCCATGTTTTCTTTCAAGCTGGCCTTGACCAGATAGAACACAATGGATTTAACGAGCAATAATAGGATAAATTCTAGAAGTTCCACTGAGGGTAAGAAATAGACGAAATCCTGAATCCGTCCTTGATTGACGTTGTTCTAATTCGACATTAATTACACGATGCAAGTTGTGAAATCGTTATACCCATACTACTCATAGTGATCAAAGTAATGAATGCAATAAATGATTGAAGTGAAATCCTTATTAAGGATCCCCCAAACCGACGCGAATATTTCGCAGCGACTGCGATAAATTCACGACGACATTGTCGCCCAGGGACTCTTCTCGTACAAGCAAATGAACAAGAACAGACCTGTGCGTCAATTTCGCTCACAGCGGTGCGACAGTGCAGCGTCTAAATTTTAATTCGCTGCTTGCACGATTTTTATCGCTGTCGCAATGGCAAACACTGAAAAACTTCTGGAAATAATTAAACAATCTCCAATTCTCTATGACTTGAACAACGGGGACTACAAAAATGTTCGAAAAAAAGACAAAATCTGGGATGAGATAGGAGTGGAATTGAATGACACCGGTAAGTTCATCGTTACTGAGAAATTATTATAATACGTTTATTATTTATGAATGGCTTAGCTAAGCTGATCTTGACCAACAATGTTAGGAGTTGAAGTAGTCAACAAATTTTTCTCGTGTAGAAAATGGCAGATTCGTTGCACGTCTTGAATCATTTTCGATGTTGGTAAATGCTTGTGATAGATCTGGATCATCGTTTAGAAGGTGTATATACTGTTCGTCACAAAATTGTAGTATCTGTTTTCGTTTCCATGGGCCTATAAAAAATTCTCCACTTTTGACTTTTGACTTATAGTATGGATCAACGATTTTATGTTTACCTCAGAGTTATGGCAAGCCTTTCTTCCGGAGAAATAGCCTCCCGATAATTCGTATCCATCTTTTTAATGTCTTCTTTAATATAATCTAATATCTTATATATCTAATATTCGAAAGTATATAGAACCGTTTTTCGTCTTGGCGCAATTCAGACATTAATGTTTGGAATTCTCCACATTCCCTTCTTCCTAAGTTAATTTTATGGTACCATTTTCTCCGCTTCCTGTAAATATTTGCGAATGTTTTTTTTTGAGACTTAGATATTGCAACAAATACATACCTACTCCGTTCTTCCTCCGCCAAAGAAAGATATAGAATTGCTTCTTCTTCATCTGAAGAGTACATGTTTTAATTTGATTTTCAAGCTACAATCTCACACCGTTTACTGCCAATCCACTGCGATCTGTTCGCTTCGATATGAAAGTCCCTCAGATGTTCGCAGCGAATTTTGCGAGAATTATATCGCCACGAATATCGCAGCGGATTAATCGCGTTGGTTTGGGGGATCCTTAAGTCTGTAGTGTCGGCGACCAGAAACTCAGGACCGTATTCAGAACTCTCAAAACTCTGGTTATATTGTCTTATTCCTACCTGACATAAAATATAGTCATGGTAATTAGCAGCCATTTTGCTTGTAGCGTTTTTTCTTGTGTGCAAAGTGATTTTTCTAAATAAAACCATTTTTGGGGAGTATGAAAACGTAGCGTACAAAAGACCACAACAAAATACGACCCTGTCTACAGATCTAACATTGACAAATCTGTCAGAATTGTGTCACTTCTAGAGATGATCAAAGTTGCGATTTTGTGATCGCAGTTAAAACTGCGATTGCGATTTACCACTCACTGCGAGTGCAACCTGTGATTGCGATTTGAAATTGTGGGACTGTGTTATTTCATTATTTCCCTTCTATAAAAGGTTAATTACATTATTGGTCATATTTAACTGTTATGTGTTAACAACTGTTCTCACAAAAAATGAAATAACATTGTATTTGTGATATAAAGGTTAGGAGAAATGATAATACCTTTTTTTTAAATCTTATAATTCCAAATTTGTAGATTTTATTAAAAATGAAAACAAATGTCTCTTATAATTATAATTTTAATTAGAAGAATGCAAAAACTAAACCAAACAGGTAATATGTTAAAATGCAAACATTCCTTTCAAGAACTTAACAAGGTTGGTTTATTTGACTTACTACTACTTACTACGTATGTTTATATATATATATATACAGGGTGACTTTGAAGTTGAGTCATTAATTTTCAGATAATGATTGTAGAAGGAAGATAAACCAAAATATGTGTGTAAAAATAACAAAAAATAAAAAAAAATGTTACCTTGTTTTATAAAGTATCCTCCCGACAAGTACTTCAGTGCGGACCTGTATTTGATCGTACGGTCTTGGAGCACCGGCATGCCCTCCCCTGTGAGGTCTTAAGTCACCTGATTCACGAGCCCTTTGTACTACATTAACAAAGGCACGAGGGGTTGGTTGCACTCGATTGGGAAACCGATCCGCATAAATCCGTGATGCCGCGTAAATAAGAATCATGTCCACAAGTTCAGCATTTTCGTAAACATGTGCCATTTTTTATTTCGTTTGAGCCACGCAACAGACACCACTATTCACTCACGCGTTACCGACTGACACTGACTGTATACAACTGAATAAAATAATTGTAAAAACATCGTTCCAAATTCTTTCGCTTTTTTGTTTCCGATGCGATGAACCGATAAGGCGGATTATATCCGTTGTTGCCAAACACGAGCACATAATATTATTATTGAGACAGGGCGGTACTCAAACTTCCAAAGGGCTATAACTTTGTTACTTTAATTTTACCAGAAAAATGGTAAAGGAAAAAACATTTCTTTTGATCAGATCTACTCAGTGTTAAAATAAATGACTCAACTTCGAAGTCACCCTGTGATAATGATAAAAAGATATAAAGATAATGATTGTAGAAGGAAGATAAACCAAAATATGTGTGTAAAAATAAAAAAAAATAAAAAAAAATGTTACCTTGTTTTAAAAAGTATCCACCTGACAAGTATTTCAGTGCGGACCTGTATTTGATCGTGCGGTCTTGGCGCACCGGCTGGCTCTCCCCTGTGAGGTCTTAAGTCACCTGATTCACGAGCCCTTTGTACTACATTAACAATGGCAAGAGGGGTTCGTTGCACTCGATTGAGAAACCGATTCGCACAAATCCGTGATGCCGCGGCAGCATTTTGTAAAGACTCCCCCCCCCCGTAAATAAGAATCATGTCCACAAGTTGAGCATTTTCGTAAACATTTGCCATTTTTTATTTCGTTTGAGCCACGCAACAAACACCACTATTCACTCACGCGTTACCGAATGACGAAAAACATCGTGATAAACGTTCCAAATTCTTTCGCTTTTTTGTTTCCGATGCGATGAACCGATAAGGCGGATTATATCCGTTGTCGCCAAACACGAGCACATAATATTATTATTGAGACAGGGCGGTACTCAAACTTCCAAAGGGCTATAACTTTGTTACTTTAATTTTACCAGAAAAATGCTAAAGGAAAAAAACATTTCTTTTGATCAGATCTACTCACTGTTAAAATAAATGACTCAACTTCGAAGTCACCCTGTAGATGAAAACTGATGCAAACTGCATAACAAAGTTATAGCCCTTTGGAAGTTTGAGTACCGCCCTGTCTCAATAATAATATGTTCGTGTTTGGCGACAACGGATATAATCCGCCTGACCGGTTCATCGCATCGGAAACAAAAAAGCGAAAGAATTTGAAACGTTTATCACGATGTTTTTCGTCAGTCGATAACGCGTTAGTGAATAGTAGTGTTTGTTGCGTGGCTCAAACGAAATCAAAAATGGCACATGTTTACGAAAATGCTGAACTTGTGGACATGATTCTTATTTACGGGGGGGCAGTCTTTACAAAATGCTCCCGGATGCATCACGGATTTATGCGAATCGGTTTCCCAATCGAGTGCAACCAACCCCTCGTGCCTTTGTTAATGTAGTACAAAGGGCTCGTGAATCAGGTGACTTAAGACCTCACAGGGCAGGGCATGCTGCTCCAAGACCGCACGATCAAATACAGGTCCGCACTGAAATACTTGTCGGGACGATACTTTATTAAACAAGGTAACATTTTTTTTTATTTATTTTTTTATTTTTACACACATATTTTGGTTTATCTTCCTTCTACAATCATTATCTGAAAATTAATGACTCAACTTCAAAGTCACCCTGTATATGATATTCTGGCTATACACATATTACATTTTGCGAAATTTTCGTCGATTTCGGAAAAAAAAATTCCACAAATAACTTATTTTTCTCTTTTTAAACATTGTTGAAACTGAGTAAAATAATACTGGCTATTCACACAAAAAAACAACCTAGATATTGAAAATAGAAACCACCAATACCAATCCTAACAATTCGCATTCGCAGCTCGCAACAGTCACAACTCGGAACCATATAAAAGCAACGCCATCCGCTCGTTTTTAACCGCCAATCGCCACTCGCATGTGTCACTCCCGATCAGGGGGTATTCACTCTTTCGTTTTTAGTTGGTGATCAATCCGTTGGATGCCGCTGGTATCGCTGTTGTGGTTTGTCGGAATTGGAAGCTGATATTTGACAGCTGTCACTGCTTCCTTCTTTGTGTTTGGACCGTTAAATACTTTTATTTTTTGTTTATGTGTGGTTAAATTTGAGTGATTACAGCGCTTGTTTATTGCAGCATGTAAGTATAGTGATATAATCTAGTTTTATAGGCTAAGATGATGGGTACAAAACTTCAGGGCCGTCGACAAGAGAGGAGCTCGTAGCTCGGCGCTGAGGGGAGCACGAGGCTCGCTTACTGAACTGATGGATTGACGTCCTTAGGTTCGCTCATGTCAAGATAGGGGCCCGAGAATATTTCGGCATGGGGGCTGCTTATCTAAATATGTTTGCTAAAATCATCAATTTTAATATTGTATCATTACAGTATTACTACATTATTACAACTGCAAAAGTTAAATTTGATTTTGTTTATGTTGTCATGTCTAGCAACATTTCTGTTTCCTTGAGTCATTTAACTTGAACATATTTTTGTAACTGAATGTTGTTTTTCAGAAACCATGTCTCGGTACCGCAAATGCGCAGTTAGAGGCTGTCAGGACAGTGTTTCAGTACGACATAGATTTCCAAACCCGACGAAATTTATGTATGTTTTTGTGCAATGGGTGGATTGTATTGGTAATGAAGCAGTGAGAGATATAGACCCCATAACTGTTTATAATAGATATAGAGTGTGTCATGCACACTTCACACTGGAAGACATTATGGTAACAACAGATTTAGGAAGGATGCTGTGCCATCACTAAATCTTCCTGATCAACAAATATCCAACGCAACTGATGAAATTCTTGGTATGTTGGTTTGTTTAATTTTTAGTGTCACCTAATTTTACATATCTCAACTTCAATTACATATATTCAGCTTTTTGGAAACTGTTGTGACTTTCAACAGTGTTTAGTACAAGTGATTCGGAATAAGTTAGACTGAGCTCCAGTTAACACTGGGAATGTTATAAGGTGAATATTTATACAGGAAAATTAGAGATCACATTATCTTAACTGCAAACATCTCATTGGTAGTTGTTTCAATCATTCCCAGAATGCGCTCCAAAACAGTTTATTGATGATAGCACAGTAACTGTATGAAACATTATAAAATTGATCATGTAATTTTTTTTTTTTTTGATAGTGTAAATTGTGTGGTTACAGGAAAACCATCAACTTCCGCATCATATCAACAGTTGGGAGAAGTTTGCTCAGTTACAACTTCACAACCAGGAAATCTTGATGTAACTACAGTAGAACCCATTGAGGAGCATTATTTAGAAGCAAGTGAGTAAAGTAATTTTGCATGAGTCTCTTAGCCTATTATACCAAGGGAAACATTGTTTTCCAAAAAAAGCAAATCTTACTAGAAGTTCTTCAAAATTGTGAAAGTTTGAAAACAAAATTGTTTTCTATACATAACAATACCTACTAATAATAATAATTTTAATTTCAAATCACATCAGCATAATATAAACTTTAAACGAAGTTTAGTCAACTTTGACTATCAATCACTTGCATTTATAATTAGAAATGGAACATTTTATTGTATTTATTGTCTTGTAAAAATAAAGTTGTAATGGATTCTGAACATATATGTAATATAATATCAATTTCATTCTTTATTTCAAGGTTCCTCAAGAATAGAATCTGGATTATTGCATAAGTTACATGTAACCAGAGAAACCCACTTAAGTCCAAAAGCTAAGAAGCTATATAAGATAGCCAGTCACCTCTCTAGAGCTAATAGAAGACTAAGATGTACAAGGAGGTTGATTAGAAGTACCAGAAGTACAAGAGAAGTATTAAATGAGGCATTGCAGCATTTGGACAGTACTGTAGCTACTTTTATCAAAAGCCAGATCACACTGGCTGGTAGTAAATCACAGGGACGGAGATATAGCCTAGAAGACAAATTGATGGGACTTATACTTCATAAACAAAGTGGTAGGGGATATCGAGCATTATCAAAAATATTTGCTTTGCCCTCAAAAAAAACAATAATGCAGCTATTAAACCGGATTCCCATCAATCCAGGTGTAAATGATGTGATTTTTAATAATCTTGCAGAAGTTGTTTCTGGCTTAGATGAAAGCAGCAAGTATTGTGCTGTAATGTTTGATGAAATGAGTCTGGACCCCCATATACATTTAAATGTTGCAACCAAAGAATTTGAGGGCTTTGAAACAAATGATGATGAACAAAGAAATGCAGTTATTGCAGATCATGCATTAGTTTTTATGGTTAGAGGGCTTGTTAAAAATTGGAAGCAACCTCTAGCATACACATTTTGTAGATCCTCTACAAAAAGTGTAATATTAGTAAGGTTATTGACGAAAATAATAACAAGGTGTCAGCAAGCTGGGCTAAAAGTTATCTGCACAATATGTGGGAATACTTGCATTCAAGAGAGCCATTAAGAACCATCGTCTGGGGTCTGCTAGCCAAGCTAGCTGATATATATTTCTTTTTTTTTGTTAGAGCGGGCCATGTAGTATTGATAACATCTTTAGATTACTCTATTTAAGCCTTAATTATTGTATATATTAGGTAGTCGATTGCTATTCATTGTTATATCTTTTTTTTATATGTGTTTCTGCGCTGTGAGGTTAAGTGGTAGAGTAGCCAGCTGAATAAACTTCGCCTCGTAGTGTGGATGGATTTCTAAAGACATTATTATTATTATATTTAGCTTTGTGAGAAAAGGTGATATAATTTGTATATGAATGATTGACCATAAAATGACTATAATTATTTCTTGAATTTTAATTCCTCCCTTCGCATCCCCTGGAAAGATTTTCCACAAGCCATTTTATGTAATAAAAACACTCCGAATGGTTTAATTTCTGCTATATTAGTCATTAATACGTGACGCGCGACTCATCCCAGCATTGGAGAAAGACACTGTGTGTCGAAATGCGCGTCATGTATTAATGACTAAGAAAGTGGAAATTAACCCATTTGGAGTGTTTTTGTTACGTAAGACGATTTATTAACAGAATGTAAAAAGCCCCATTAGGTTTGTCCTATTAAGATGGAAAGGCCCATTATTCAGCACTGGTGTGCGGCCAATCCACCAGAGGTCGCAGAAATACGGTAACTTATTTTAGTATTGGAGTTTCCCATCTCTAGAAGGGTTTATCTCTGCTCCCGATTGCGATTGCCGCGATTGTACGGTTGCTTGCATGCCTACCCCGGCTCACGCGAACGCGAACCCACCAGATCGCAACTCGCAGTTTGCTACGGAACGGGCTCGCAGGTTGCGATTGTATAATCGCTGCGAGTAAATCGCAGTTCGCGAGTTTTTGCTCATCTCTGGTCATTTCTCCCTATGGGAAATTTTGAAATATTACTAGATAATCTGCTCTTATGGTTCACGTAATAGATATTCGTGAAAAATACTTTTCAGCTTCAGAGAGTCATAAAGGTAACAATAATTTGATTGAGACAGTAGTTTGTTCCCTGTGCTGCAATCATAAAAACATAAGAGATTTTTTCGCGAGATCCCGTAGTGAACCGGAGCGGGAACATACGGAATTTCCCCTTCCTCTCGAAGTTTTGACAGTTACAGGTTGCAACGGGAGTGGTTAGATGGCGCATGTTGCGCAAAATGTTTGCTTTAAGCTCCTTGATAAACTTAGCTGCCTTGTTTGAAACTGAAATAAAAAGACCGATCGTTTTTTGTGCAATGTTTTTTTTTTATACTCCAATTACCACGAAGGCCTAAGGCCTAAACACCCATTGGGTACCGTGGGGCTATCGGGGGATACAGGGGAAAGGGGGAACGCCACGTGGCGGACTCTGGCGAGGGAACACGTGTGCATGTATCATGCACACAGTCTGGCTCCGCCTACGAGATCCGCCGGGTAGTGGTGTTGAAAAAGTAACTATTCATTACTCGAGTACCCGTTACTTATAGATACCCGAAGTAAGGAGTGCCAATCCGAGCACGAAATGATTACTTTGATTACTCTGTTTTCCGTATCCGTACCCGGTACCCGTACAATCGTTGAGTGACAACGCGGGTTTCACTGTAGCACTGTCGCTCATGCATCAGGGTTGTCAGACATCCCATATTCGTGGTGGAAACCTGGAAACTCCAGATTTAAAAACAACCAAATTCTATGTCAGCCAATCAAAAAAAAAAAAGTTTACCTATTTACACAGTGACTCAAATTCGCTTTTATTGTTGTGATATTGGCAACCTGAAAAGGAATAAGGAGTCGATTGGATTGAAGCAAAGTTCGGCAGTATTATGAGACAGAAAAGCGACAACAAGTTAACAGCATCGTTCAGGAAAACCACAATAATAAAAATTATGTCAATTTGACTGTTTACTTGTACTGTTTTGCCAAAAAAATTTAATTCAGTATAACCAACAATAGTTTGTGTAGACTAAGCTCCACGTAGAATTGTTTATACTGGTATATGCTTAATTGAAATGCTTCGAAAAGTTACTTGCTATTCTGAATTTTCTTAAGACCATATAGAGATATTTCTGACTAAGACATGCTTTCTAAGCATTTCTAGTAACTCTCTATCCTATAATAACCCATCTCGATAAGGATAAAGTTTGCATTAAACACGACAGATTTGAATAAACTATGCTCAAAACATTTTGCAAATTTTAAGGTTGTCTATTTTCTTACAAGATTCGGTTACATTGAACTAGTTCAAATTCAACATTAATTACACGAAACACGACGCACGTTGCCAAATCTTTACAGTCATATTACTCATAGTAATCAAAGTAACGAATACAATAAATGATTACTTTGTAGAAGAGTAACGATTAGTAACGAGTACTCGAAAGTAACGAGAGTCAACACCACTACCGTCGGGTGGTACCTCCGCGTTCGACAGGCAGAGACTATCTACCACCTACGGACAATCACAACATTCATAGCCAAGAGAAAAGTTTCTCCTGGGACGGGATTCGAACCCGCACAGCGCACGGCGACTGACCAGGAGACCGAAGAGTCTACTACTGCGGCCACCGCTGCTGCCTAAAGGGTGTACATATGTATCAATAAAGTCAATCATTTGATATGACAACTGCGGTTCATATATCTTCGATGACCTTCTCCCTCGTCATTTAAAAATCAGGTGTACGTATTCCTTCATGTATGATTTAATAATATTACTCAATTTCCAGCCCTGTGAAGACAAATTTTCAATTGAGATGCATGTTTTTTTAATGACATTGACATAAGACCTGTCACCCGCTAGTACCTCACAGACGTTAGGCGGGTACCCGTACCACGTGATTTTTTGACATTCGGGCGACGTCACATCCGTCTTCCCCTATTCCCGTTCTTCGCGAAACTTTGAGTATCGGTTCCCGGTAGTGCACTGTGCTACACCGTGGACTCAATGTTGCCAGAGCGAAGTTGAAAATATCCGTCACACGTATCGCAAAATTCCGCTACATGCCGCTACGGTCTAAAAATTTAAGGGGGGGGGCTTAAAATAAACAACAAATATATTTTTTTCATATTCACTTTTTTTAAACACTGTCTAAAAACCCTACTAAAAATACAAACAGTAACATAATATAATTGCAATTTTTCGTAAAAACATAAAAAGTATACCTCTAAAAAAACAAAACTGTGTTTGGTTTAGAATTAGGAACTAATAAAAAAATAGAAACCACCAATATCTTAATCTTAATAGAAAAAAAAACAAAAAATAAGGACAAAGAAGAAGCGGAAACGTAGAAATGCCTACGTTTGCTTATTTTATTCACAGTCAGAATCAGAAATTACTTCTTCTTCAGCTTGTTTTTCCTTTTTTACATTATATAAATTCTTTTTATATTTGTTTAAATGATTCTCATTAAAACTATAGGATAAACAGCACTGTTTTTTTTTATTCCAAGTCTAATTTAATTGTAAGTAGTGCAGACAAAGTTGATGGTATTATTTTATTTCTTTTTTTTGTTTTGTAATCAAGCATATAAGAAAAAGTTCGCTCAACATCAGCGTTTCCATGAGGCAATGTTAAAATGATTAGAGCCAGTTTACCTATATTGCGAAATAAATATTCGTCATTAAAATTTTTGAGGTCGTTTACAAACGACCAAAATTCAATGACATTACTTTTTGTCTTTAAAATTTCCTCTTTCTCACTATCACTAAAATAAATACATATTTTCTTTAGTTCCAAAATTGCCTTTTCGGTTTCAATATGAAGGGCAAATTTTTTTAAAACGGCGTCATGAAAGGTATCACTTATAATAAGACGATTGTTCATCACATCAACCGTTGAGAGAAACTTTAGCTCTGAAAAGAAGTTGTCTTTGATAGGAAATCTTTTAAGCGACTCTTCTACCGATTTTTGGTAAAATGTGACACATTATCATTTAAATTGTTCGATTGCCGTGTTATTGCAGTGTTTTATTGCATCCATTGTATGCGGACCAACATTCACTTGTTCAATTGATAATAAGCAGTGGAGATCATTAGGATTTAGATTATATAATTTCTCATTTTTAAAATATTCTGGTCGCATAAAGGTTGTACATAGATGACGTACAAATCGCTCACTCTCTATTGATATGATATTGAGCATAACTTTCTCTGATTGAAAGAGAGCATTAAATTGGTTAAAAATGCGCAACACGAATTTAAAAAACATTAAACAAATGGATTCTGTAACTCATTAAGTATTACATTTGCTACAGGATTTTTGTCTTCAATGGAAGCTAATCTAAATAGGCTAAGCAAGATGTCCCACTGATCCAAAACTCTATCAACACATTTGGATAAAGCAAGCCACCTTGTTTTACTAGGGCTTAAAATTTTTAATTTTGACTTTTTGTAAATTTTCCTGTAATTCTTCAAGAACACACTGCCTTTTTGGGCTTCTTGAGAAGTAAGAATATAAGTTTTGTAAAAGAGCTTCAACGTTGCTTGGAATCTTTTCAGCTGCCGTCACCGCCACTAAATGAGCAGAGTGGCAAATGCAGCCATTGACAATTATATTAGGATTATCTTTTAAAAGATAAGTTTTGAAAGATTCGTTATTGCCCATCATAACACTAGCGTTGTCGGAACAGTATCCAACAATATTGGTAATTTTTACTTGATTGGATATAACGCATTTTTTAAAAAGAGAATATAAACCTTTGGCGGTACCTTCATCTGCGTTTATTTTAATCATATCTAATAAATGGGTTTTAATTGAATTTTTATGAATATACCTTACAAGAATGCATAGTAGTCTTGTATTGGTCAGGTCTGTACTCTCATCCAATAAAAAAGAAAATGGTTTATTTTCCAATTCTGAAATTATTTCGTCTTTAATAACAGGAGCCAGCACATTTTTAATTATACTTATACATTTGGATCTTTTTAACTTAAGTGAGCTAGAGAGATCTGGGTCTTTAAAACATAATTGACTAACTCCTGTTATGTGATCAACAGTTCTAAAACTTATATAATGACTTACAACTAAAAGACTATACCTTAAGCAAGCAAATATTTACCGTTTTTCCAACTCACGTGCTTCCCGAGACTGAAAAGTGCTATCTAACGTTCTTACATTCGAAATTGCTTGTACATTAGTGGCATGCCTTTTTGATTTCGAATGATTCACCAAATCTGATTTTTTAGCACCCATTATTTGATTACAAGCTTTACATTTTGCTTTCAACTTGTCATTTCCATTATTCCTATTTTCCCGGAAAAAAATCGTTAAAAACAAATTTCGCGACTAAGATTTATTTCTGGATCAAACTATAATATGTTAGATATTTAAGCAGTTTTGTTACTTACCAGTAGATTTAATATTAAAATCTGCAGCAAATGATATATCAATAAAATGATCAACACAAAAATAAGAACACTAATATAAACGAAACTAAACAGTATATACCCAGAGCTGAAAAATACAATACAAAGCGAGAAACCTAATATTATGTCTGCCTACTGAGACCTCTTAGAAACGATTAGTATTGAAAGCAGTACGTATGCCATCTGTTATTGAAAAAAAAAGGCAAGTGGAATAATTCTCTTCTCGGTTCCTAGTTGGCTCAAGCGGCACCAAATGCACCAATTTTATTATTAATGTGATAATAAATCAGACTCTAGCCACTGCCTATTTAGGATTTAGAACGTTATTACCGTTAAAACAGTGAAATAAATATGATAGTTTTGTATGTAATAAATTCCGCTACATTTTGGGCTAATTTGCTCTACCGCCGCTACGCCGCTCTTCTCAAAATAATCCGCTACAAATAGCGGAATTCCGCTACGTATGGCAACACTGGGTGGACTCGCGAAAAAATCCTTAATGAACTGTCATTGTTGACAGTTGGCGTTGGCACAAACAAAAACAAGATGTCCGATAGTTTTGGGTGTGCTTATTGATTTTTGAAAACCAATATTCTCGCGTAAAAACTTGTGATTTCTCATCAAACATTGAATTATTTTAGTATATTGGCTTAGGTGAGTATTTTTTGAGATGGTGCTTAAATTTTCCCCAACAGGTGCATCGATTTGTGATCATAGCTTTTTGACGGCAAAAGAACCGAGTGGGGAGACTTTGCGGCATTGGAAATGGATTAAAAAAAATTAAATCCATGTCATATCCAAGTACCTATATACCCTACATCGATATTACTTTTTTAATTTGCAATTTTACCAACGCTCTGACGTTAATGCGTACCTAGTTGATCACAGTTGTGTTGTGTTATGTGATCTATCGTACATCATTCTACCTAGAATCCTAGAATGTAGCTGTTAAGACGGTAAGTTACTCCTTCGAGTTGAAGGGCTGTCAGCTAACATTCCTATATTACCCCTTTTAAACAGCTTCTTTACCTCCAATGTCTTTTACAGGATATACATTACATTAATTGGTTGAAGCTTAGTGTATAGTGATATTACAATGGAGCCTTGTGCCCCAGGAACTGAAGATGATGGTCCAATCTCTTATTCTACATTGACAAAGCAGGTATGCCTATTTCGTGTATGGTTTCAGTATTTTCAATTTTAAGTTCAATTTAATATGTAAGCATCTATCTGCAATATTTTCAGTAAACTGTAGGTAAGTATCATATTTTGTCAAGTATTGTTTACACATCAGATGGTTGCAACCCAAAGTCCAATAGTTAAATAATCACAAAAAAGCATAGAAGTAAATCTTTGTGGTATAATGAAATAGACCAACATTGTTAGTTATGATATCGTGCATTTAAGAATAAGAGAGTTGGCATTCATAAAACAAAAAGTTTCAATATAATTTGCAACATTTTTATTTAGAAAAATCTAGATATGATAAAGTACAGTCACACATTATTTGCTTTGAAATATTTCACTAATGATTTCAATTTGTAAAAAACATTGTTTACCAAGGTCTTAAGAAACCTAAAACTATGCTAAATAAGTATGTGGGAGAATTAAATGACTACTTGGAAGAAAAAAATATTTGAGAGTTTTCCTTTTTTTCTTTTTATTTCTTACTGCTTCGAATAAACTTTATCAATTCTTGTTATGTATGTTCTAATATTAAAGAAATTAATCTTATGTTTTTTCTTTGAAGTTATTTTGATATTTTTCACAATACATATTAAAATCTAATTTTCATTGATGTGTGGATCATCTAATTTTCCTACACCTCATAGATTTTGAAAATTGTGTAATTTTACACAATTTACATCTGTTTGTGTGTTGAAGTGAAAATATGATTTGTTTGGTCTTGACACAAAACAATGGAGCATTCAATTTTGAATGGTCTTTAGTTATACAGGTATATTGTATGCATTTTAAGTTGTGTTGTTTTCAACACAACTTGCTTGGGTGGTATTTTATCTAGACAACAAATTTATTCATATTTATTGGTATGGATATTGCATTTCATATTCATATCTCTATATCTACAGCGTACTGGAGGGATTTCCTGATAGGTTAATGATCCCAAATAACTGATTAAAAAGCACACTTTGAATCTTTACCCTAGATATTTTTAGTATCCTGTTTTCCAAAGTCTGCCTTTACAGTTTGATATTTTACCCATGGAAGATAACCTTGATTTATTGACTCTGTATACCGATCTGAAAAGGATTAGTGTACAGTTTAGTGACAAAAAGAGATAAAGTTCATCACATAAAAATGTATTAGGAGTCTGGTTAATGGGACAAGTCTCTAGTGCAAAAAAATCCATGCTACAAAGGAATCTTTATAAATTGGAGAAAGCGTAAGCTTAAATTCAAAACATCTAGTTTTAATCATACCTACCTGAATTTATTAGAGATTAATAATTTGAACAAGCGTGAACACATTGAATTCAATTTGGTTTTCACTGAATAAATGATTTTTAAAACAACAGGTTAGATATTTGAGAGAATCTTGACCCATTTTCAGCTGCTTGTAACTCTTTGAAGATAGTAATGATACAAATGGCAGGCTGAAAATATGTACATCAAAATTGTAGCATTTATATTGTTGCTACATACTGAGAAACAAATCTTGATGACTAGCACACAGCATATAAATAAAACAACCCCTGCCATAATACAATTTATGTTTCTCGAGAATCCAGACATACCACCAAAACTTGAATTTTTTAATTTTTTTTTGGAAAGATACAATAAAGAATCTCATAATTCTGAGGCATAAGAAAATAGAAATGTTGTAGCTGTAGCGTTTTTCATCACATATCATTTGGAAAGCTCACAGAACTTTTGCATTTTCTCTCAACTCACTATTTAAAGATCAGCTCTAATATGCTGGAATTCATATTATTCATCCATATTGAACGTTAAAAACTTTGCAGTTATAGCGTTACGTCGATCTCTTGGAAAAATGTAGCGCAAATTATATGACCGGAAAACCGATTCGCGTCGAGTGTACTGTGAAGACCAACATTCATGACCAATCCATCACTCCATCTATCAAGTGCTCTATTTATTTAGAAACATTGGTTTCAGATGGAGTAGTTCGTAAAACTTTTAGTGCTTGAATTTGCGGTCAGTGTACAGTTTTCAGTAGTTTTTGGATTGTTTGGGTCTAATTTGGCATGATGGAACGTTTGTTAATGGATGTGGCGACCATGATGTTGAACTACAGTATAAGTCCCCATATCAAAAAATACGAACTACTCTCCAAGCTTCTCGGCGCTTGTTTAACATGTCTTTAACATCGAAAAAAAAAACGTCTTTTTTATTTCTTACTAACGAGAAAAAATGTTAAGTAGGTTATGCTTATATTTTGTAGAGTCAGATGATTAAATATCATCTATTTTATATCCTCGTTAAAGAAAAAAATCCTCAAATACTTTGGGCTTGATTTCGTTTCTGTGGTGCATTTTGTATATACCTGTAAAGTGGGTTGGTGAATATGTTTTTGCTACCTGAATTCTACATTGTTTAACACTAAATCTAGCGATGATCAACGGATTTTATTGTTCTTAAAATCCAGGTACAGAGAAAATTTTGAGTGTCTTTTGCAAGGTTGTATACAAGTGACGTTGATAGTTATTTTCTGTTTATACTTTATATTATTGTCATTTTCAAAAGTTAGTATTTATTTCCATATGTTGCCGTCGCATATTTTAATGCAGTTTCTTCTTAGGAGAAAGAAATCGAACGCATCCTCAATCAGAAGGCCATTCTGAAGGATGGATCGTATGCCAGAATTTTTGAGCCTGATAACAAGGCAAACCATGAATCCTATTACTGTAGGTTAGTATCACAAAGATTAATAATACTCTTTTTTCTTCCGACATCTGTAAGTTGCTTAGATACAGTATATCTGATGTACATCCGTCTTACTACGATGTCTATAAATTAAGTGATGGGACTGATTTTTTAAAGTTTTTTGTTCAAATATAATTACAATTTTATATTGTCACCATCAAAATAAATTCCTTCTGAAGCCACACAGCGCTGGAGACAGTTCTTCCACTCCTCATAGGAGTGCTGGAACTCGGATACTGGAATAGCCTTTAGCTGGTTGGTTACAGCCGTTTGAATATTTACGACTGGCCCAAAATGTTCAAACTTATACGGAAGCCGTATCACATGTTCCTTTTGCTTCCCCTCCAAGCCAGGCGTCTCCAGTGTTGCCAGATAAAATGCTACGTTGCCAGTCTTATCACTTAATTTACAGACATCATATGCAAAGTAAGTTGACATCGACACTATTGCGCATAGCAGCTGCCTGCTGCGTGTACCGGCTGTCAAGCTCATAGAAATGCGGATAAAAATATGGCTTAATTGCCTTGCTGTCCGAAGCGGTTCGGTTCTTAAATACAAATTCGATTCCAGGGTGTGCGAATGTCCAGTGCAGGGCAAAGTGTTCCAGCATGAGGTCGGGAAACGGCATACGCAAAATCTGCAAAATTGCAACAGGGCAAACAGAACTGGGCAAGAGTTGCTGGAGGGAACGTTGGAACGTGACAACGAGGTTGAGAAAGAAACGATTGACGTGGCTCCTGGCGAACCCCTACCGCCTGGATTTGAGGGCGAAATAAACACGCGGACTTGTCAGATACAGGTACACAAGGAAATAATAATAAGTTTATTCAAGTATTGTACAAACGTAACTAAAACATACGTTCACGTAAATCAACTGCAAATACTTATAGAAGAATGAAATCTTGTGTGTGGGAATGAATGACTCAATTTATATAAGCATATACATACACATAAATTAACACATACAACAACATGGGAGTTTTGAACTAATAAGTTACAAGTTCAGTTTTCCTTCATACCTTCATATTGAAATATTCCTTATATCATTCGGTAATATAATAATAATAGCCTACTTTAAATGTATGTATGACATCTTTGACCTATACTTTTTGAGGTGAAAGGTGTGATTGATGCTGTTTATTCTGATTCTTGGTCGATATAAGGGATCTAATGGAATAAGATAATTAGTGTGTTGAAACTGATAAGTTATAATCTATAAAAAATAGTTGGGTAGGATCTAACAGATTTGCTTCAGAATACAACAGATCAGGTGGGAATCTCAAAAATATAGGATCTTTTTTTATTTTCAGGATAGACTGGATGGTTTTAAAGCTGGTCCCCTGGTAGCTTTGGAATACTTATTGGAATTGCAGGACTATGACCCATCTAAAGAACCTGTCTATTTATGTATTTTGTGTGACAAGAGAGGCGATCCGCGTACTGTTCTCACTCATTTGGCTAGCTACCACCACATTTCACAGGTAAATAAGTAAAAAATGTTTACATGTCTACATTTCTTATGTTTATTAAGTCGAGGAGCAACTTATACAGACCCTAAATCCCTCGGTCAACGGAAAAAATTATACAAGGCGGCAAAAAGTCTAATGGAGATCTTGAAAATTATTTTCAAGAGCATTTAGAGGTCAATTTGAAAACTTCATATTAAGGATCCGTATGTTTTTAACCCCACAGACCTTCAAAGTTATTTAGAAGTCAGCTTCCAAGTTTTATATGGAATATCTTTTTGATCCCACCGATGGAAAGAACGGAAAATATTACATTCTAAAATGATCATGATCTCAAGTTATATCAGAGAACAATTAATTTTAAGGTATTTAACGACGCCTTGTTGATTAAGCTGACCTCTAAATGGGCTTAAAGACCAATGTCATGGTCATGAGCGCGTTCGATTCTCTTCTCTTAAAACTATTGTACGTTTGCAATTCAAATTTTGTCTAACCTCAAATTGCTTATTTGACCAGACATCGTCCTCAGTCATAACTATACAGCCTCCCCTTAACGCGACTGCCGTAATATTAAGCCACAGCGTCATCGTATTCGTTATTCAAATGTCGTTTCCATAGCAACCGCCCTAACAGTGCTTCATCAACGTCGCATCAAAAAAAAATACTTCTCGTTTTCCGCCTTTTTAAAGTGACACTTTTTCCTTTGTATAAAATATTACTTCCTTGACATTTTTGTAAAGCTTTTCAATATCTTCAATATTTAACAAATGAAAAATACTCTTCTCTTTCGGTATTTACAAAGACATTGCCCGACAAGCTGGCGCGCCCTGGCCCCGTTAACCCCACATATAGAAATATCGGGAAATGACCTTCAAAGTCATTTAGAGATCAGTTTCAAAGTTTTTTATGGAATATCTATTTGATCCAACTGGTGTAAAGAACTAAAAATATGTATTACATTCTAAAATGATCATGATCTCAAGTTGTATCAGAGATCAACTAATTTTAAGAAACTCAATGACGCCTTGTTGATTAGGTTGATCTCTAAATGGGCTTAAAGACCAAGGTCATGATCAAAGTCGCCATTAGGTTCTTCTCTTAAATCGATTGTATGTGTGCAATTCAAATTTTTGTAACCTCAAATTGCTTATTTGACCAGTCCTCGTCGTCAGTCATAACTATACAGCCTCCCGTTAACGCGACTGCCGCGATGTTAAGCAAAACAAATACGCACTATTAACCGCCTTTTTAGCGTGACACTTTTTCCTTCGAATAACATGCTCTTTTCTTAACATTTTTTAATATCTTCAATATTTAACAAATGAAAGATCGTTTTCTCTTTCAGTATTTACAAAGACATTTTCCGACAAGCTGGCGCGCCCTGACCCCGTACATGACGAAACAATACAAAAGGAACTGGCAAGCGGCATTGCAAAAAATCGGCGAAGGAATCGAAAAGAAGTTCGGGCGATTGAAACCGATGCCCATCGACAAGGACAAATTTGAAAAGGACAGGATGGTATATTTGAATAAAATTAGCCAAGGAAAGCATTTTTCTGAGCTGTCAGGGTACACGTTTGAAGAGCTTATTGTTCACGATGAATTGACAAAGAATCATGATGGTATGTATAAACATGGAATGTCTTGTCTTTTTCACAAATATCCATTCCGATAGAATGACAGCCAATTATTTAGTATTCCAAAATTCCCCATATCAACAAATTACACTACAGGGAAGAAGAGGCATTTTTTTTGAGAATCATGGGCTAAATTTTAAATATTGACAAAATGGCTAATTTTGACCGTGACTTTAACAACTCCATATACCCACAATAACCTTGTAAAATTTCATTTTGATTTTTCGAGACGTTTTTTGTTTTGTTTAAAAAATTTAAATTAAAATTCCGAAATAAATTAAAGGACATGTTTATTGCTGCTAAAAAATTTAAAATACAATATTTATTTTTATTTCCCACATTTTCCTAACAAAAAACGTTTTAATTTTGGAAAAATAGTATTTTCTATAACTTGAACAAATTTTGTAAGAAAAATGTGGAAAAACTAAAAATAATCTTTTCCAATTTTAGTGTTTTTAGTAGCACTAATTTTTTCGAAATTTTGTCAAAAAGAAGTTGTAAGTCACGCTCACCATTAGCCATTTAGTTAATGTTTTTAGCCGTTGTTTCACCAAAAATTTATAAATTACCCCCTTTTTCTGTGTTTTTTTTTTAATCCATATGAAGGATGACAAATGTTTTCAGTAAATGATCATTGTTCCTTATTAGAAGCCATTCCAGCTTCTGAAATCACCTTTGGCTTTTCTGTACAACGATTTCGGAGGTATCGATGATCAAAGCCAAAAAAATCATTTTTCATAAAACCAACTGTAGGTTTTGGAAAAAGCAAGTTTAAGCTCTCAATAAACGGACTATGCAGTTCTTATAATAGTCGGTGGACTTGAACAAAAATAAAAATATTGCAATTTTATTACTTACACTATTAGGAATCTGCAGCTTAACATTTTTTTAAATATACAAAAACTAGACATTTGAGGCTTCAGCATGCTGCTTCAGAACCTCAATACGACCATTTAACATACGTTCCAAATAATCACTAAAAATTTACAATTTTTATTTGACCACTTAGTTTTTTCCATTAGTATATTTCACTATACTATAACTATCTAAAACTGTAATGACTCATCGATGTTCACGTGAACATCACTTAACTACCAGTAGTCGGCTGTTCATAGGCGGGGTATGAATGTTTAACATGGGTGAACTAGATTTGCCACATGCTTAATAAAGAGTGGTTTGAAACATATTGTAAGTCAAAAATTTGGGAATTACCTTTATTCATCGTCGCTTCCACTTACATCTGACAGTAATAAACTGTCGCTATCGCTTTCCTCGTTGAAATTGACTATAACTGGCTCTATGATGGTGTCGATGTGGTGGTCAAGCTGCCACATTTTTGTTTCTTCCTTCACAACATGACGGATAGCATTCTGCCAAGCTTCGGGCGTTACTAGCTGTATGGAAGTCTCAAGTAAAACCTTAACGTCTGGTAATTTGAAGGTTGTGTTATGGCGCGCAATATAAACCTTCACTTGAGCCTAGATGAGCTCTATTGGGTTCAGTTCACAGTGGTAGGGCGGTAACCGCAGCACAGTGACACCACATTGACGGGCCATCTCATCAGTCACGTAACTAATGTTCGCAGGTTTGTGCTGTTAATTTTTTCATACAATTCCGCTTTCACACATGATTCGTCAAACGGGATTCCTTTTTCGCGCAACCATTGCTGCATGTCACTTTTTCGAGATCCCATAGTCGGTACACGTTCGACTCGACGACTATGGTAGGAGGCATTATCCATGACGATCACAGAGTTGGGCTCAACACGCTGAAGCACCCCTTGAAACCAGCTCTCGAAGCAGCTGGCATTCATTTCGTCATGGTAATCACCTCCTTTCTTAGAGACGAAAATCAAGTCGCACTCTTCTAAAAAGCCACTATCGCTACCAATATGAGTTACGATCAATCTTTGACCTTTCCCTGACGGTCCACGAAGACCTGTTGACAAACCTTCAATGCTTGCTTGTCGGTTACTCACTACGTTTTTGTCTATCCAGGTTTTTTTAACTGTGTGACCTGCATCTACCCATGTCTCGTCCAAATAATAGATTTTTCTGCTTTGTCGCCTATATTCAATCATTTCGCGTAGGTATCTTCGACGCCAGGCGACTATTTCAGGTCTCTCTATCAATACTGACTTCCGATTACGCGTTTCGTAACGAAAATTAATTTCGTGCAGGGATTTCCTCATTACTTCGACGCTCATTTGGGGTATAATTTCATTTTCCTTGATCGCTGCATGTACAGCCTCTGTAGTAGCTCCAGTTTTCTTCTTTTCATGCACCACCCTGCGAATGGTCCACTCTGGAACGCCTGTCATACTTTCACAACGCGCGAACGCATCTCCCTGCGACATAGTTCTGTTCAGATAATTGAACACATTGAGCACGATTTCTTTCGCGTCCCTATTCAGTGCTTTACGAAGCCGTCTACTTGTTCCCTGGCTTTCAGTACTTCCACTCGAGGCATTTGTACTCTCCATGGTTAAGTATAACCAAAACAGTAACCATAGAAACCACAACAATAACAATCACACACCAAGTCTTATAAAAACACACAATATGCGATCGCTCAACGAAACACGTTCCAATGCGTTGCCGACGCCTATGAGTCTGCCAGTCGAGGCGCCTCTTTGATTTCATTGGTTCTACCGGCGGAGAACAATCAGCCATTATTTCCATCTCTGTCTTTGCTGTTGACCACCGCAAAGCCACAGAAACGACATATGTCGTACGCTATACGGCTGTACTGGAAGGAAGCCAGGATCGAGCTCTGATCACGTGTGGATCACGCGTATGAGTCATTACAGTTTTAAATAGTTGTAGTATAGACGATTGACAATAGACGCGAAAATAAGCGTACTTACGCTGGCGCCATCAACTAGTTGTGCCTGCAACTCTACAGGTGTCCACCGCTATCTTTAGGCGACAGCGTTGCCATGTCTTGGACGCAGGACATGTGATTTCCTTTTTTGATTATCGAAAATGTTTATAATACGAAATCTTAGGAATAAATTCCGATGAAAGTTTGGGGGGGCATCTTTCATTGGAAGGTTGATGTTATGTTTATGAATAAACAGTTTTAATTGAAAGGAAAATTGAAGGAAATCCCACTTGGCAACATAGCAGTAGCAATGGAAATTGTACGCGATTTTCAATATTTTGATTAGGCATCTCTTTGAAAAATATATATGATTCAAGATATTACCGAGGAGAGTAATGACATGGCGCCTTTTCAGATGGCCAAAGCGGTCCAAACGTGCCCATAGCCTCAGATTGGGTGGCCATCCAGAAACCGTTTAAGAGACGCAGTCCTTCTCCGCCTGTTGTCAACGCACCGAAAAAAAAAGGTATGGCACAACAACCAGATCATAATTGTCCCCTACAACACGACTCGATTTTTTAAATGGTTTGCATTAAATTTTTTTTTGTTTACTCCAGTGTGTTTTGTATCGACTAAGAAAGTCTAGTCCTCAGTCATATTTCTCTAAAATTGTTTTCAACTTAGTCTGGAAAACCTTAAAATAGTTATATCAACAAAGCTTCTGGTCCGAACTTGATTCCTGCCATTGTAATGAAGAGATGTGCACCGGAGCTTACTCCAGTTCTTTCGCATCTCTTTCAGATATTTTACGAATCCGGCACTTTCCCAGAAAACTATAATTTTGTTTATGTCCTAGCGCTCGTCCGGCTTCGATGGATGGCCGGGTTCTACCAAAGACCCGTTCATTTCGACTGGTCACACATCTCGCCAATCACGGCAGCTGCTAGGAAAAAACTGAGCCAATTTTTTAGGGTTAAGTATCTTCCTCCACACAGATAAACCTCGCCTCAAGTACTGCTCACATGTTTGGCGTGATGTTGTGCCGACTACATAATCCATGCTCGATAGTTTTCAAAGAAGGGCTGTTTAACTGATGAATAACTTTTCTTTAACGGACAGTCTCGAGACCATTTTGCACCGATAGGCTACCGGGGATCTGGATCTCTTGTACCACTACGTCAACGGGCTTTGCTCCTCTGAACTCTCCATGAGGCCGCCGCGCGATGAGTCTGGCAAGCAGATCCGCTTGAAAAATTGAAATACAAAAATGTACTAAATATGTATACAGGGTGTTCCTTAATGACCTATCGTCGGCAAGGCCATATACGTAATGCATTTCCGCCATTTCTGCATTTGAATAATTCACCATTATTAACAAGATTGTAAAAACGAAATAATGAAAAAGATGTCACAGCGAACAGATTTGAATAACAGAGACTTGTCATATGTCAACAGCCAGTAATCCAAAGCAACTAGATATTTATTGCTAAATTGCATTCTTCAATTATTACATTAATTTTCTCGGACAATAGAACGGTACTTATTTTTTTACTCAAAATGGCGCACCGAAGGAAAACAATTCAAGACCGATCATTTGTTTGAAATTGAACGGGGAATTTAAAAATAACATTTTATTTGCCAAAAAACCATTGGCGTACCATTTTTTTCTTTAAAAATGTCGAAGTCAATACCCGTACGCACGCCACTGTTAAAGCTAAAAATTATTTTTGCATTGAAAAACATGCAACTTTATTAACTTCCACGACGTTCTAAATATCAGTAAAATATATGAAGCGGTTCTGAAAATTTTAATTAATTTCCATTTTTTTCCTAAAACTTCAACACCCCAAGTTTTTGTATGGAAACATTTTTGGACCATAGTTTATAAAGCAAATTAACATTAATTTTCCATGTAGATTCACGCCCTTAAATATTCGCATATCATTAACCCTGTATACAGGGTTATCCAAATTAAGTGTCCACCATTAGTAACTTTGTTATTAGTGAAAATACAAAGTTGTTTGAATTAGCAAACTAGTAGCATTTTTAACGCTGGTAAAAATGAGAAATAAAAAAAAACAATTGAGAGTCGTTATTTTGATTTTTTTCAGTAAAATAACATTTTTTTAAATGGAAACCCCTGTATATTATATTTTTTTCTGTTAAAGCATCAAATTTTAAACAAAAAAGCTTACAATAACTTTTCTCCTAGGTTACAAATTGTTGAAGTTATGGCCTCCAATCTGAAACAATTAAATTGTATCGACAAACTTTATTTTCAACATCAACTTATAATCGTACAAAATACAATAACAATTTTTTTTAAAGAAGATGCTCGAAAACACCACCTTGTTCTTCAATACATTTTTGGGAACGTTTTTCAACTGCTCGAACTGTCTTAAGTATGGTCCTACCATCTATCTGGGTTATCTTTTCCCTAACTGCAGTCTTTAACGCGTCAAGGTTATCGTACCTTCGCTTGTAAATTTGGTTCTTTAAGTAACCCCACAAGAAGTAATCAAGTGGGTTTAGATCTGGTCATCTGGGAGGCCACTGTATTGGGCCATTTGTTCCTATCCACTGATCATTAAAAGTAGTACTTAGAAAATGATAAGTACCTCTGGAGTTGTGGGCAGGTGCGCCATCTTGCTGAAAATGCAGATGATGTCTACTTATAAGATCCAATTCGTCTAAGAAATTAGTCAGAATTTCTGACATAAATTCCACATATCTTTCACCAGTTAGGGTTCCCTCATAAAAGAACGGGCCAACAATTTTTGAACCAATTATACCGCACCAAACGTTGAAACTGAAACGGACTTGTGGGCCTCTTGGATGTACTAACAAAAGATTTTCTCTTGACCAATAATGGTGGTTTTTTCTATTAAACATTCCAGAATTTGAAAAATTTGATTCATCTGTCCATAAAAGGTAACGAAAGTTATTTACATTTTGGCGACAGAAGCTAAGATACCAATGGCAAAAAACAAGTCTTCTCTCTGGATCCCCTGCCAAAAGCGTTTGAACTGGTCGGTACTTATACGGAATAAATTGGTATTTTTTTAAAATCCTTTGAACAGTACCATAACTGAAATTAGAGTCCTTGAGAATATCTGCTATTGAATTCTCACGATAAGCTTCAAAATATCCAATAACTGCAATTTCCGTGGCCTCGCTTATTATGAATTCTTTTTTTGCCCTTGTTTTAGCAAAAACATTTTCGTTGCCCCTAAATTTTCGATAAAGTCTCAGAAAATATCGTTCATACGGTTGAATGCGAGCGGGAAATAATTCACTGTAGTATTCTCTTGCTCTCAAGGAGGATTTTCTGCACACTAAATAGCATTCTAACATATCACACTTTTCTTCATGGGAGAACATTTTTCTTTAAATTAATGACACAATAAAGCTTATAAACAAGTATTTACACTAATGTTTGACATTATTTGATTTTATCATTGTTTTCCAAAGCCTTCTAGTTGCGAGTATGTCCAGTTTAACAATTTGTCGCTTATCTTAATGCTGTCAAATCGCGAACGCCATGTTGTTTTCATAGCCGTCTTAATATTATAATACTGCAAATAATTAAAAATATTTATCGTTATTTTGACTTTATTTTTGACTTTAGCGGAAAAGTCATTATGAACTTTTTTGTTTAAAATTTGATGCTTTAACAGAAAAAAATATAATATACAGGGGTTTCCATTTAAAAAATGTTATTTTACTGAAAAAAATCAAAATAACGACTCTCAATTGTTTTTTTTTTATTTCTCATTTTTACCAGCGTTAAAAATGCTACTAGTTTGCTAATTCAAACAACTTTGTATTTTCACTAATAACAAAGTTACTAATGGTGGACACTTGGATAACCCTGTATACGCACAGCTCAAGTATTGAAAAATACAAACTTACAAATGAGGCAGATCACTTTTTTCTAAATAAAATAAAGCAATGACACTACACTGAATATGGAACAGGTTAAAATTTGCGAACTAAAAATTATGTATACAGTTCCAATTTTATGCTATTCTTAAAAATACTAAATTATTATCCACCCTTATGTGATGCGGTATCTTATTAAAAGAATGTATACACCAGTAAGTAATGCTGAGGCCAGTGTTAGAGTGTATGATGCATCATCATTCCAATTTGCAAAAAAAATGAACATCCTATTTTTTTTTTAGGCGACGCCGGCAACAAATCCTTTGAGCCTACAAATACCATCTCTAAGCCGCCTGGCCGCAAAAACTCCGTAACTCGCAGACCTGAGCGCAGGCATTCCCTCTCGAGCATTTCAAGTGATGATGATGATGAGTTAGGGGCCAGAAGAGCAGGTTTCAGGGGCAGAGGCGGCGGTGCCAGAGGAGGTAGAGGGGGATTCAGACCGGCGGATAGGTTTGGAAGAAATCGATCGCCTATCTATGGTGGAAGGTACTTTTCTAGATTGGCTTTAATAGAATATAATAAAATGAGTGTTTATTGAGGTTTAAGCTGCAATATTACATTAATCATATCACTTAGTTTATATTCAAATATTTATACATTTTGTGCTTGTTTTACTTCTCTCTATTTTAAGAACCGATAGTCACGGAATATTGGGACACCCACGCCAGATCTTTTTAACATGAATTTGCTAAAATAACTTGGCGCTTCATTGTTTATAATTTTATATAGTAAAATCATGTTTGCCTCTCTATTTGTTGTGGTGTTAGAAATTTAGATTCTGCGTCTTGACTTCAATAACTGTGGACTTCTGCAATTTAGTAATATTATCTTTAATAATAATAAATTGGAAACTCCGCTTATCTTCTGCCGATCAGGAAATAAGTAATGAGCAGTAATTGACATGTGAATATATGGAAATAATTTGGATAAAAATCTGCCGAAAAATCCAATTTTTGTACGCATAATGGAAGATCATATCTAGGAATTTATTTTCCCATAAAAATACTTTTTTAAGAAAAGAAGAAAGTTTATATAACAGTTATAAGAAGGAATCCAAATCAACGAAGCATATAACCCCTTTCATTCATTTAATAAATCGATAATCTTGCATTTTTTCAGACGTACGTCCCCATCCCCCAGACACAGATCACCGTCTCCCAGAAGACGTTCTCCCAGGTTAAGACGTTCTCCCTCACCCAGAAGACCCAGAAGGGACGATCCTCTCAGGAAGAAAATGGAAGAAGAAGAAAGAGAGAAAGAGAAACTCAGGAAGATAGATGAGTACAGGAAATTGTCCAGGGCCATCGAGAACGACATGGCGGAGACTCTGAAGAAGCATGAGAAAAATCCAGAGAAACATCCTAACTATAATGAAGAATGGAAGAAGTTTTGGAACAGAAGGTATTTATAAGTCTCCATTTCAGTATTGGGTGATCCTTATCCCCAATGTCATTTTCTTTGTTTATGATTTATTTAGCGTGATTGCTACTTTTACATTCTTTTAAAAAATTACAGCACTTACATAACATACAAATATTTAGAATTTGCAAATTTGCATCTCTAAGAATGTTTCCTGTTTTAATGTTTTAAACATCTTTGAATTACAATTAGACCTTATATCATATTTCGTTTTATTAAATTCAAGTAATCCCATCTGAAATATTGATTTGCTAGTTATATTACTATTGCAATTTTGTTCATGAAAATATATATTTCCTCTTGCATGATAGTTGTGGTAATGATTATTCAATTCCATGTAACCTTCCAAATTTTATGGCAAAAAATTATTTTTAATTTTAAATATAAGAATAAGAACCAAATATTTTAACTTTAATATATTCAGTCACTGCAATTGTAACAGATTTTATTTTGGTGTACTTATTTGTTTCAATATTATATAGAGGTACATTGGCAGTGATTAAGATAGATAATAATAATAATAATAATAATAATGCCTTTAGATGAGCAATATAGTAAATGTGATAGAATAATTGGATTATGAACAATTTTTTTAACATATGTGCTAACACTATAAGAAGCTTGAAAGTACATAATTTATTTTGATAAGTTTGAACAATTTCTATTTTTCGTTTTTTGTCTGTATCTCCACCGCCACTGGACCGGTTTTCAAAAACTATACCGCGGTTTTGTCCTTGGAATAGTAGTAAGCTTGTGTGAAAATTTCATCAAAATCCAAGTTATTGACATAAATCACTTTCGAAATTTTTTGCTATTACAATACTTCCTCGCCAGTGGCATGGTAAGTAAAAATTGTTTAATGTAAATCTTGGAATTTGTCATGTGTTTTTCTTGTTCGTTGGAGTCCATTAACTGGGAGAATCAAACTACATGTACCCTTAAATTCCTGTTTATTGTACCCTTTTCAAGTACAACGTAGTGATTACTTGTTGGCGTATCCTTTCTATTATACGTATTGCGCGCATCTCTCTCTCTCTCTCTCTTTATCTCCTTCTCCCTCTCGCTTTCTCTCACTGTTTCTCTCCCTTGCACTCTCTTTCTCACTCTCTCTCTCATTTGTCTCTCTTTGTCTCTCTCATCTCTCTCTTTCTCATCTTTCCCTCTCATTTCACCCACTCATCTCCCTTTCTCATCTTTCCCTCTCATTTCACCCACTCATCTCACTTTCTCATCTCTTCCTCTCATCTGTCAATTCTCTCACTCCTATCTATCTCTCTCTCTCACTCTCTGTCTTTTTCTCTCTCTCTGTCTCTCTCTCTATCTCTCTCTCTATCTCTCTCTCTATCTCTCTCTCTATCTCTCTCTCTATCTCTCTCTCTATCTCTCTATCTCTCTATCTCTCTCTCTCTCTCTCTCTCTCTCTCTCTCTCTCTCTCTCTCTCTCTCTCTCTCTCTCTCTCTCTCTCTCTCTCTCTCTCTCTCTCTCTCTCTCTCACACACACACACACACACACACACACACACACACACGCACACACACACAAACACCTACACACACACACACACACACACATACCACATACCTCAAGCGTAAATGATTTGCACGGTATGTGGTGAGATTCGGTCACAAAATGAAAAAAAAATTTAACAATAAGCCATTATTAAAAGTAATATTTCAGATATAAGGAGTTGCAAGCAACTGGAGTTGACGCGTCTAAGTATGATTTTAAGCCAGAGTGGATTGAATTTTGGAATAGGAGGATGGTCGAATTGCATAGTGATGAAGTTAGAGCTAAGAAAGAAGCATTACGGAGAAGGTAAGACTCATTTATAATAGAAATACTGAAGTTTTTAATGTCGTCAGCCATACATGTATCTTTAGGCGGCAGCATTAACACTTTTCGTGCTATTGCCGCAGGTTATGGGATTTATTTTTCCGTCGTTAAGAAATTGTGAGGATATGCGATTAAAGGGATAATTATGAGGAGGAAGGTCGAAGGGTGAACTTACCTAGGAAGGTTGTTTAAGAAAAAACAATTTTCCAGATCCTGCTTTTATTCCTTCTAAAGTAATTACTGCGATCCTACTTACATATAATAGTATAAAATGAGTGTTTATTTAGCTACAAAACTACATTAAAATGAACAGAACAAAAATCACATAACAATTGGATCAAAATATTAAGTCTTCAATTTCTCAATTCTTCAACAAAAATAGATTTCTCCAATGCCTTGGTTTGATACTTGAGCTGTAGAAGATTATGTAGCAATCCTTTGACAAATTAATATTCTTTTCATGTAATTATTATTTTTTATAAACTGTTCTTTGACTTTTTGGATTGGAATACTACAACAGCACTTCTTAGCTAGATGTCCAAATTGGCAATATTTGTAACATTGAAGAACACAAAAAAAATTGTAAAATGTATGGCTATTCCATCCTTAAAATATTTACTGATTTTTATCCGTTTTTATTCAACTTTCACTACTCTTGTATTTATGAATTTCTATCACTTAAATACTTGATTCGCCAGGAATATTTTGTTTTTTAAAATTTAAACACAAATTATTTAAATTAACTATTGCCAATTTTAGTTTCATAATCTTCTCTTGGTGTCAGTTGCCCTTCATTGTTCACTTGCTAATTCTTGTTCTCCTAGGTCAATGACTAGACATCCTTGTTTTGCTTGTGTGATTTTCTTAACAGATATTTCTGTCTGCAGTTAATATTCGCATAAGAACATTTTTTGTTCCACTGCTGTTTTACTTGTTTTTACATTAATTCTATTAATTCTGAATTTTTCTCTATTTCATTTTTTTTTTATTTTCTACGTTTTGATTAAAATGCTTTCTTTTCTATTGCAGATAAATTTTTCTAAATTCTATTGAGCCTTTCCACAATTGTTCCTTTTTCCTGGAAGGTTTGAATAATAAACTCATGTTTTTCTTTTAGTCTGGAGTTTTCATTTACTAGTCATTCTATTTTTTCTTTCAGCTAGTAATATATACTTACTAATAATATACAGGGTGTTCCTTAATGATATGCGAATATTTAAGAGTGTCAATATACATGAAAAATTAATGTTAGTTTGCTATATAAACTATGGTCCACAAATGTTTCCTTACAAAAACTCGGGCTGTTGAAGTTTTAGGAAAAAAATGGAAATTAATTAATATTTTCAGAACCGCTTCAGATATTTCACTGTTATTTAGTACGTAGTGAAAGTTAATAAAGTTGCATATTATTCAATGCAAAAATAATTTTTAGCTTTAACAGTGGGGTACGTACGGGTATTGACTTCGATATTTTTTAAGAAAAAAATGGTACGCCAATAGTTTTTTGCCAAATAAAAACAAATGATCTCTCTTGAATTGTTTTCCTACGATGCGCCATTTTTGAGTAAAAAAAAAATAAAAACCGTTCTATTGTCTAACTTGCAAAATTATTATTAATTTAATTGGAAAAATTAAACACATTAGGGGTTTGTTTCAGATTTATTTAGCATTAATGCTACAATAACCATAATATCCATATTACAAAATATATTATATTACATATTTTTATACAAAATATCACTACTATGAATTCTGGTTTTCCTTGAGATGTTTTTTCAATTTCCGTTTGAACATTTTCAAACTGACACACATCTTGATATCATTACTTAATTTATTAAATTCGTACAATCCCTTTTGAAATACTGACTTGATCGTTATAATATATAAGTGATTTGGTAGAAGATGATTTTTTAACTTGACTATGAAAATGAAAACCAAGTAGGCTATGAAATTTTTGATATTTAACCATTGTAGTTCTGTCAGCATAAAATTCATTCTAGTATATCTATTTTTGTTTAAGATGATTCTCATAGCTTTATTTTGTAATATTTGTAATTTTGAAAACAGTTTCATTTGCAGTGAACATAGTCGAACAATATAACAAATGAGGAAGAATGATAGTGTTGTACACATTTTTTTAGAATAAACGCATAGGCTATGCGAAATTCTATAAAAGTAATTTTTTTCTTGGATATTTTTGAAATAATATAATCATAGTGCCCTTCAAATTTTAATGTACTGTCTACGTATATGCCCAAATATTTAAATGATTCGATTGACACATGATTAATTGTAAGATTTATCGTATTTTGATCTAAAGATTTTCCTATTAACATATACTTTGTTTTGTTTGTTTTTAGTTTGAGTTTATTTACATTTAACCAATTTATTACTTTGACTTATATTGATTAAATAATTTTGTAATCAATAAGTTGAATACTGAACCTTGAAATCCATAGCAAAGCAATTTCGTTAACAATTTCTCCCTGTCAATAGTCTCAAATGCTCTCTTGAAATCTAACAATGTTACTGTGAACTTTTTTTCATCCATATTTCGCCGCCATCCTACTACCATTTGAATTCCTGTTTCAGTAGAATAGTTTTTTCTGTTTGAAATTTTGTCAATATCTGATTTTCTTCAATATATTCAATGATTGTTCATATAAGATTCCTTCTAAGAGCTTCTCGACATCTGGCAGTACATTAATTGGCCGCATGTTTGTATATAACTCAGAATTTTGCACTTGTGAAACAGGAGTAATTAATTGTAGAACATTTTAATTTTGGAGGAAATTCGCCATACACTAAACAGTGATTCACTAACAATAATAACTTCTCTCCAATAATGTTGAAACATTCCTTTATAACCATTTCTGAAAGATGTTCACTAGGATTTCTATTCGACGTCAATTTTGTAATAGCTTTTGAAGGATGGCTGATATTTATTGTTTGGTTTTGAACAACAACTGACAACATAAACATAACATTAAATCCAACGAAATGATCTTCCATTTTAAAATAAGAAATAAAATATTTGCGATATGCGCTAAGGCCCGTATCGTCAGTCGTCCCTACAATTGTAGGGCGCGTTTATGGCCTCCTTGATCGTCATACTGGTTTCTCTCCTTCAAAAATTTCTACATTACACATGTCCCGTGTCAGCGTCAGCGCTCTCCTATTGTGAAGATATGTTTTCTTTTTAAATTGTAGGCAATTTCAGGCTGATAAAACATGATATAACTCGAAAGCAAACACAACTTGATGCAAATAAGATGTTTGTGACATAACCTCAAAATAGAGTTCTGACACGGAGAAGTAGAAAACTATGACAATCAAGGAGGCCATAAAGGCGCCCTACAATTGTAGGGACGACTGACGATACGGGCCTAAAGTATAGTAGTTCAGCCAAATTTCGAACCATTTCCGTCAAAATGTGTAGGTAACTGTAGGGTGTAAAGTGTGAATAGACATGCAGTAGTACGAGTGGTACCAGAATCTGTGGGAGCCAAATGATCTGTGAAGGATCGTGTGGCTGTGAGAATAGAAATTTTATGTGGTATCATGTGCAGCCTAAGGGTTGAGATGTTCGTAGAAAATACGTTAAAAATACCTTTAGCGAGTACAATCTATTTTTCAGACTGGCTCTCGATGAAATCGCCCCGATAAAGTTCAAAATCGGCCCAGCTAACAGAATGCCCAACGTGCCGATGGCAGCACTTCCGGATCAAGACAACGAGGTGATCGTCATAGAAGATAACAAGGACGACGATAACAGTTCGGATAGAAAGCGTGCTAACAGTCCTTGGGAAAAGGATCTGCCTGTCCATAGGCGGAGCCCTAAAAGAAGGAGTCCCCCAAGGATAAGTCCACATAGGTAATAATTGATGATTCGTTTAGGGTCGATTTCACCAACATTGATATTATGGACCAATGGGAAAATACCTTATCGAAATGCAATTTGACAGAAGCTGTCAAAGGTCTCAGAATATCAGTGATTTCTATTAAAATATTGAATAAAATCGTGAAAATTCGACTGTATTATAAACAAGACTACTTCTTGATTCCAACAGATGCTTTTGTACAGAGAAAACAGGTCAACTTTCATGTATTTTGATTTTTGTTATAAATTTACATTTAACAATCAGTTATCCCCAAAAGCCAATGGGAATGCGGCAAATAATAGGTCGATTTTCTAACTGTTAAATTTGGCAGCAGATTTGGATGTTTGTTAATGCATGGCAATCTCAAATTTAAGTTCAATATACGTTATCATTACATACCTGTTGAATAGTGTGGATTTGTCTGTATTTTGCAAGAAAATAGAATATAAAATATATTCCATCCAATTCCTCATCTTCCTTTACATCATAATAGTAATCATTTATTAATTTACGGGCTAATGAATTTCTTCAAAGCAATAAAAACATTGTCCTCTCCATCTTAAAACACAGATAATATGTGTAAGACGTGTCAATCCCTACATCTCCGTGATGCATAATGCAATTACTATGGACAAATGTCGTTGCGTGCGGTAAATATTAACAACAGTGAGAATGGCAACAGTAAAAGAATTTTCAAAATATTTCAGAGTCAAAGTTAATTGAATTATTCAGAAGAGGTGTCAGAAATGTTGATATTTCTCAATGATATAAAATGAACAAAGGGACGATTTCGAAAATTTTTAGTAAATATCAAGAATATGGATTCACAGCAACGCGGTCCAGGTGCGGAAGACCGAAAAAAAAACCGATTATGTTTTGGATCGCTACATTAAACGTTTGTCCCATGAAGATCCTCGAATGCCAGCCACACAGATTTTCAAAAGAATCGTAGAAGAGGGTGCCGAGAGCCTTTCTGTCAGAACAGTGCAGAGACGCTTGGAGGATTTTGGACTTTTTGGTAGGCGTTCGGTGCAAACGCCTCTCATTTCAAAAAAAAATTGTATTGCTCGGCTTGAATTTGCTAAAAGTCATCTAACTTGGACAAAACAACAAAGGAATACAGTTTTATGGAGCGGTGAAAGCAAATTTAACTTGTTTGGATCTGACGGTTCGACATATGTGAAACGTCCAATACGAAAAAGATTCAACTATTCAGAAATGGTAACAGAAATAATATCTTCTATGTTGGGATGTTTTGAAGGGAAAAAACTCACACACCACTTCTTACCCCAGGGGGTATCTTATTAAGAATATTTCACTTTGAAGCAGAAGCTGGGAGGGGCATATGCCCCCCAATGGGTGCCCATGTCAGTTGTCAACAGTTAACACGTTCACTGCGAACGACGCTGATCCGCGTCCGACCGATGTTTAACGAAAGGCGGCGGGCGCGGATCCGCGCTTCTGGCTGATACAAACTCACAAGACTGTGGTGTTGTCAGTTTGTACCGCACTCGCTTTCTGTTTGGTCACCTACATATTGAACATCTTTTTGGACTATTTTACGCGTAGGATCAAGTTTCGTTTATTTTTACATTGCGCAATGGCGGATGATGTGGAAGCAGGTTGTTCACGTCCAAAACGAGTGAAAACGTATTGTAACCGTAATAAAGGGCTTACAGAAAAAGAACTGTATGATATTCTTGCCAATTCGGGGAGTGAAATCGAGAATCTAAGTGACTCAGACAATTATGTTCCCAGTTCAGATGGAAGTGAGCAGTCTGATGGAAATATGTCTGAAACGAGTGATGATTTTTTCAGCCCACAGAAAAATCTTTAATAGGGTTTCAAGACATGTTTCGTGTTACTGCACGAAAAAAAACGAGATGAAAGAAGAAAATGTATATATGAAATAGTTTTCAATTACACAACGCACATCCAATAGGCTTACGACGCGAATCCGCGCTTCGCTTGTGCAGCGCCTAAAATCGTTTAGCCGCTACCGTGCGCGCGGCGCGAGGCAGGTCGCAGCGAACGTGTTAAGCACGGTGGATGCATCATCATGGTTTGGGGCTGTTTTTCTAGTTCTGGAACGGGTCCAATTGTTGGGAAAATGGATCAAAAACTTTACAAAGATATCCTTAGTCAACACATGTTCCCTTTTGCTGAAGAAAAAATGCCCCTACGATGGACATTCCAGCAAGATAATGACACCAAGCATACCTAAAAATTGGTAAAGGACTCCTTATTAAGACTAAAAAATGTTAATGTTCTTACATGGCCTTTGCAATCCCCGGACCTAAACCCTGGGAGCATGTTAAAAGACAACTGACAAAAAAATCTTTTAAAAATAGGAACGATTTATTTGATTATGTAAAAAATATTTTGAAAAATATGCCAACTGGTGTCTTCTATGAGCAGCAAATGTCAGGCAGTGTTGAATGCTAAAGGCCATGCTACCAAATATTAGCTAGATATTATTTTTTAAATCTTTTTTGTATAGTTATTGTGTGTAATTTTGTGATAAAAAATATATTTCCATACTTTTGTCGTATCATTTTCGGTCATAAAATAATGACGGTATTTTAATGATAGTCTGTAGTACCACAGCAAACACAAATTGTCATATCCTCAAGACTGTAAACTATAAAAAATAGTCCTTAATAATAAAGAAAAAAATATTAGCACACTTTTTAAAAATTACTAAAAATATTTCCAAACGTTTGTTCGCTACTGTATATTTTATAATTCGTTTTTGTAGAATAATCACCTTTTTGTAAACAATTTTGAGAGGAGACACACCAAAAAGGAATGCTGTATCTCAATCTACTCTCGAATAAGTCAGAGTAACAGCTTAAGGATGTGCTTTTCCCTACGTTGTAACTAATTGTTCTTATAATGAAGGAAATCATTGCTAGTTGAGAAAGCAATTTGTCTACCTGATTAGTAAAATCTTATTTATGATCTATGGTCAATGCAAAAAATTTGATGGTGTCTGTTTTGAGAACCAATTCATTATTTTGTGTATTAATTCATTATTTAGATTTATAAAATTATGTAATTTCATGGTAACGTTTCTTACAAGTCTGTGATATACGAAACAAAATATTTGACCATAATTACAAGTACTTGTACCTTTAATTTACTAGTCTAGTATTTTTATGGAATAGTTCCTTGTTATTTTTTTTGTGGTTTTTTAAGATTTTCTCCACGAATGTCTTTTGCGCTTGACATAAATGTTTCAATTTCCAGGAGAAGCCCGCCCAGAAGGAGTCCTTCCAGGCGCAGTTCCCCACGCCGAAGTCCTCTCACTAGGTCCAGATCGTCCGAAAGAGGCATCAAACGAAAATCCGACTCGCGATCCTTGTCTAGAGACCGATCCAGATCCATAAATCTGTCTCCTCACTCCAGAGATAGGATGTCAAAGGACAGGAGGAGCCGATCCAGGGAACGCTTTATCAGGGGCTTATCCAGGGAGGACAGAGGATTCGGGGAGCACCGATCTAGGGAGAGAAGTTGGGATAGGATGAGGGAGTTCAGAGAGAGCTCTTTTGAGAGGGATATTAGAGGCAGAGAAAGAGTCAGGACTGTCGCCGATTTGCCATGGAGTAAGCAGGAAAATTTCATGGGACCAGGGGGGGGTTTCTTGAATGTCGAATCCAACTAGCAAAGTAGTGGTATAAGCTTTTGGTAAAAGAACCGTTCAGCCATAAAAGCTCTCTATTGTTGTTGCCTGAACACCAAAATGCTGGCTTAATGTTGTGTGGAATGCAAATTTGTTTTCTGCAACATATTTGCTCTAAAATGGGGTGTTTAAAATATTCTTATGGCATAGTTACAACTATTTTATACGGCATACTTGCAAGATAGTCAAAATGGTTGTGTTGTGGCATCCATGGTAACGTTTATAAAACAAACCCGAGCCTTGTTGTTTTGCTGTGCAATTTACTACCTTAGCCAACAAATTGCTCCCAACGGAAGAACTTATACAACTGTTGTTAAGTAACTGTTAAAGGCTGTACATATGCTAAATATGTTGGTAAACAAGTTCACCATAACCTAACTTTCTGCTGTCATATTTTTGTTAAAATGCCATAACCAATGTTTTAAGACAAACAACGCATGCATATTGGTTCAAAAGGTTTTATCAACTGTTCAAACAGAAGATATAGATCTGGTACAAATTCTGGGTAAATCATTCGACTCTGTCGGTATTTCATTTCAGACATTTGTCAAGTTGTTGTATAACACCTGCAGGCAACACCAAAATATTCTAATAACCTAAAGACAACATGGACGATGCCATGATTGTACACAACCACCCGCGCCATATTGGGCAAACATTTATTCCTTTATTTAATATTAAATAATTATGTTTCAGTTCGAAATTACAGATATAAAGTGATAAACATTAGTGTAATTGTGTCTAAATATAGGATTTGTGAAAGGTAAGTTCAGTTTTCCATCTTAAAAATCTAGACATACTTTTGATCATTTTCAAAAAATGAATCAAATACGAAGCCCATAGAAATTTGCACGATAATCACAATAAAATTTGCTGCGCAAGTAATTCATTAGCGCTATATCAAAGTGTAGAAGTTTATTATATGCCTGTGTATGAAATTCACAATGGCCGATATGTAAGTAAACAAGATGACTGTAATGTGTTAGTTATATATTCTTCACTTCGTCTATACAAAAGAAATAGTTTGGTTGCAATAAAGTAGAATCACGTAACAGAATAGTTGTATAGTTGACAAAAACTGAATCTTGCACTGACGCAAATGTCCTATAGCGGCTGCAAGAGGCATACACTTCTGTTTTATAACTGTACCTGCAGCCCTTATACAACCTCTTAAATGACTGAAGTGTCCTATTAGGTGTGCCCATTCCGCTTGTATAGCTGTTCTAAGAGGGTTTTGCCAATGTTCTTACAGTTATACAATGCTGTTTAAGGAATACTGTATAATCATTCTTGCAACTCTAATAGGAGTGATAATTGTTAGTTGGGAATGGTCGATGTCGCATGCGAGTATCGACATTTTCCATTCGGCAAAATCTCGCGAATCTAAGACTATACGACTATACCCGATCGAAAAATTTCCCACAAAATGATAAATGACTACTAGCTGTATACGAGGGCGCTTCGATAAGTTCTTAGCATCACCGCCCGGTGGTGCCACTTTCGCAAGGGAAATTTACTGTCGTACATTCTCGTAGACGGCTAATCGCGAATCGGACTCGTAGCCGCGTGCCCTCGAATTTTAGGAAAATGGTAAAAGAGCAATATCGGTCGGTGATTCGATTCTTGTTTTTCGAAGGTTAATCGCGCAGCGAAATCAAAGAGCGTTTGGATGCTGTGTACCGGTGACACTTCTTTTTCGATGGTGACTGTCAAAAATGGGTTTAACGAGTTTCGGCGTGAGACAGTAGGCATCTCAAAAGACCGCGTGGGTCATATCTTGCATGAAATATTGGGCATGATAAAGCTGTCTGCGCGATGGGTGCCGCAGAGCAGTGTTTAAGCGCTATCCGAAGGAGTTTCTGCGTCGTTTCGTGATCTTCGGCGAAACGTGGATCCACTGCTACATACCAGAGACCAAAGAACAGTCGAAACAGGCTTGACTCGGTGATCGTGCTCCGAAGAAGGCGAAGACTCGTATCGGCCGGAAAGGTGATGCCCACCGTTTTCTGAGATTTGCAAGGTGTGATCTACATCCACTACCTGGAAAAGGGCAAAACGCTCACGGGGCTCTACTATGCTGAATTGTTGGGCCGCTTCGACGCCGAATTACCAAAAAAAAGAACCTCGGTTGGCCGCGTGGGTCAGAGTGTCGTGCTACTGATCAGCCGGCCGGCCGGACCGCCTTCGCCATGGATGTTGTGACGTCGTGTGTTTGTCCATAATTAGAGATATACAAATACAAGATTTGATCTGGCTAATGGGACGCAATGTCCTAGTGCAAAAAAAAAACATTTGGCGAAGAAAAAAGTGCTCTTCCACCATGACAAAGCACCGGCTCACACATCTGCTATCGTCACGGCCAAATTGGTCGAATTAGTCTACGAACTGCTGGCCAATCCACCGTATTCTCCCGATTTGGTCCCGTGCGACTTCTTTTTGTTTGGAGGATGTTATCACCGCCGCGGAGGCCTACTTTACAACGTATTTTTCAGACGGCGTATTGAGCTAAAAGAAGACTATGTTGAGAAGTAAATCGCCACTTTTCTGAAATTTTCGTTTTTCTTTTATAGGCTTAGTACTTATCGTATCGCCCTCGTAATTTGGTTGAAAATACTTTCTCCATTGTTGATCACCTTTTTCCAACACCTGTCTTAAGATCAAATAACTTTACAAATGATGGCAAGAGTTTGTTTGTTTGTTTAAGATTTGTTTAGCATTATTGCTACAATTACATTCTTTTAAACAGCTACAACAATTACATAACATACAGATATTCAGGAAAAAAACAAAATTTGCATCTCTAAGAATTTTCAATGACCATGAAATATTGCTTGAATTTTCTATTAAATATCTTTAAATTACAAATAGACTTTATATCATTATTTAGCTTATTAAATTCAAGTAATCCTTTCTGAAATATTGATTTGCTAGTTATATTACTATTGCAATTTTCTAAATGAAAATCTATATTTCCTCTTGTATAATAATTGTGGTAATGATTATTCAATTCTACGTAATGTTCTAAATGTTCTGGCAAAAGATGATTTTTTATTTTAAATATAAAAATAAAAACCAAATATATGAAATTTTTTATACTTAACCACTGCAATTCTTGTAACATAGATTTTATTTTAGTGTACTCATTTTTATTCAATATTCTCATAGCTTCATTTTGCAAGACTTGTAATTTTGAGAATACAGCTTCATTGGCAGTGTACAAGATAGTTGAACAATATAGTAAATGCGGTAGAATAATTGAATTATAAACTATTTTCTTGGGATAGGTACCAAGACTATGAGAAGCCCTATAAAAGTAATTTGCTTTTTTGGCGATTTTTGAAATAATGTATTCATAGTGATCGTCAAACTTTAGTTTACTATCAATATACAGGGTTATCCAAATTAAGTGTCCACCATTAGTAACTTTGTTATTAGTGAAAATACAAAGTTGTTTGAATTAGCAAACTAGTAGCATTTTTAACGCTGGTAAAAATGAGAAATAAAAAAAACAATTGAGAGTCGTTATTTTGATTTTTTTCAGTAAAATAACATTTTTTTAAATGGAAACCCCTGTATATTATATTTTTTTCCGTTGAAGCATCAAATTTTAAACAAAAAAGCTTACAATAACTTTTCTCCTAGGTTACAAATTGTTGAAGTTATGGCCTCCAATCTGAAACAATTAAATTGTATCGACAAACTTTATTCTCAACATCAACTTATAATCTTACAAAATACAATAACAATTTTTTTTAAAGAAGATGCTCGAAAACACCACCTTGTTCTTCAATACATTTTTGGGCACGTTTTTCAACTGCTCGAACTGTCTTAAGTATGGTCCTACCATCTATCTGGGTTATATTTTCCCTAACTGCAGTCTTTAACGCATCAAGGTTATCGTACCTTCGCTTGTAAATTTGGTTCTTTAAGTAACCCCACAAGAAGTAATCAAGTGGGTTTAGATCTGGTGATCTGGGAGGCCACTGTATTGGGCCATTTGTTCCTATCCACTGATCATTAAAAGTAGTACTTAGAAAATGATAAGTACCTCTGGAGTTGTGGGCAGGTGCGCCATCTTGCTGAAAATGCAGATGATGTCTACTTATAAGATCCAATTCGTCTAAGAAATTAGTCAGAATTTCTGACATAAATTCCACATATCTTTCACCAGTTAGGGTTCCCTCATAAAATAACGGGCCAACAATTTTTGAACCAATTATACCGCACCAAACGTTGAAACTGAAACGGACTTGTGGGCCTCTTGGATGTACTAACAAAAGATTTTCTCTTGACCAATAATGGTGGTTTTTTCTATTAAACATTCCAGAATTTGAAAAATTTGATTCATCTGTCCATGAAAGGTAACGAAAGTTATTTACATTTTGGCGACAGAAGCTAAGATACCAATGGCAAAAAACAAGTCTTCTCTCTGGATCCCCTGCCAAAAGCGTTTGAACTGGTCGGTACTTATACGGAATAAATTTGTATTTTTTTAAAATCCTTTGAACAGTACCATAACTGAAATTAGAGTCCTTGAGAATATCTGCTATTGAATTCTCACGATAAGCTTCAAAATATCCAATAACTGCAATTTCCGTGGCCTCGCTTATTATGAATTCTTTTTTTGCCCTTGTTTTAGCAAAAACATTTTCGTTGCCCCTAAATTTTCGACAAAGTCTCAGAAAATATCGTTCATACGGTTGAATGCGAGCGGGATATAATTCACTGTAGTATTCTCTTGCTCTCAAGGAGGATTTTCTGCACACTAAATAGCATTCTAACATATCACACTTTTCTTCATGGGAGAACAATTTTCTTTAAATTAATGACACAATAAAGCTTATAAACAAGTATTTACACTAATGTTTGACATTATTTGATTTTATCATTGTTTTCCAAAGCCTTCTAGTTGCGAGTATGTCCAGTTTAACAATTTGTCGCTTATCTTAATGCTGTCAAATCGCGAACGCCATGTTGTTTTCATAGCCGTCTTAATATTATAATACTGCAAATAATTAAAAATATTTATCGTTATTTTGACTTTAGCAGAAAAGTCATTATGAACTTTTTTGTTTAAAATTTGATGCTTTAACAGAAAAAAATATAATATACAGGGGTTTCCATTTAAAAAAATGTTATTTTACTGAAAAAAATCAAAATAGCGACTCTCAATTGTTTTTTTTTTATTTCTCATTTTTACCAGCGTTAAAAATGCTACTAGTTTGCTAATTCAAACAACTTTGTATTTTCACTAATAACAAAGTTACTAATGGTGGACACTTAATTTGGATAACCCTGTATATACCTAAATATTTAATTGATTCAACATTTTCAATTATTTCTCCATTTATCCTAACTGTGATAGTATTTTCATTTAGGTATTTCCCTATTAGCATACATGTTTTAGAAGTATTCAATTTTAGCATTTTTAAAGCAGTGTCTATATTTTCATCTGATATGTATATTAATGTATCATCTGCAAATATCTCAAGTTTACAATAATCTAAAATATTACAAATGTCATTAATTTATAAAATATGTAAATAGTAGTGGACCTAGTTTACTACCTTGTGGAAAACCAACAGAAATATTTTTGATCTTGATAATGTAGATCCAATTTTGGTTTTTGACTTCTGTCATTTAAATGGTTTTGTAGAATTTTGAATAGAGATCCTTTAAATTCGTAGTGATGCAATTTTGTAAGTAATTTATCCCTGTCAATAGTCTCAATCACAAAAATAAAATTCCAGTGTCGCATGCAACAATACCTATGTCTCATATGCGAGATTCGATAATACCCCTCTGAAGATACATACATTCATAACTAGTACTGGTAAAAACTAACAAAACTCAGAAATCTATTCAAATATTTAATAAAAGTATAAGTACCTTTCAAAAAAGCGGCTTTATTATTATCCTGAATATGTTCGAAATGCATTCCCACAGGAAAGGTGCAGGATAACCTTAAATAGGTTTTGAAAAGGTTTGTGACTCCATTCGTTTTATCATTCTTTGTTATCGAATAAAAAGTTTTCCCACAAAAGTTGGTGTACCCATTTTATGCGTCCATGTTTTGAATACCGTCTTGAACAACTTGCAGCAATAAAACCAGACTTTACAATTATTTCGCAAACCAGGTGTGATTTCGTCTATATCATATATCATGTATTGAACCCACAGTGCGTAGTAATTGAGCACAGATTGCCCAACTACAGAGAGCCTTTATCTCGAAAAATAATAAACATAGTACGTCGGCTTGAAATTCAGAAGTTTCCAAACCTCAAATTGGTTATTTGGCCAGTCGTCGGTCTGTTTGACATGGTCGCGAGTTATCTATGCCGTAATACGATATATTTATTTATTCCGTATGACTTTTTGACGTAATCCCGAAAAACCGTGAAAAGAGCTGAACTCCATTTTCTTTTGTAAAAATGTAACGTTTGTAAATATTTTATGTAAAGCCATCTATAAGCGAATCATCAAGCCAAGGACTGCCTGCACATAGATAGCTGTTTTTATTTGTAAGCCAGTAATAGTCCAAGAGCGGACCGCAAAGTTTTGGTTACATCGCGTATTGATGTGGAATGTCAAAAACTAGTCAAATCTTAGGTATTGTGATGCTTCTCGGCAAGTAACTAACCCAACTTGATTTCTTAACACTGATTCTTATACCTACTTTGTAAAAAGTATTACAAAGTAAACATGCTGCTTTCGTCCGCCTAACCACAAACACCCAACCATAGACAGCTGTTTCATGCTTTTTGACAACTCGTCACCATGGTCTAGGGTTGCTGTCTGGCAAACCTGGGATCTTGGACTAAAACTTAAAGGGAGTCAATGTATATCGGAACTTCTCGTACTGCACTATATTAAAATACAGTGTGTAAAAAACTTAAAAGATTACCTTATTTCTAAATGGTCAAGCACTTTGTTGCTTTTGAAATTCTAATGATTTCAAAATGTTCCCAAACATCGTTGTGTGATGCTTTTCGCGTTTGATAATTTCCAGCATTGTTTTTTTTTTTTGAGGGGTCAAAAGTTTCAAGAAATTCGAACTTTGTTTTTTTATAACTTTCTGATCATTTTAGGATGTGGTCGGAAATAGATTACTTTAATCAATGCGCAGGAGTTACTGAATTAATTTACTTAACTCCATTTATTTTTTGTCGTCTATAGACGTAAGGTTTGAGGCCCCACCATCGATGCGTGACGTTCGACCTCCGATGATGAGAGATGTTCGACCTCATCCTGAACCTCCAGAAGACGACGACGATGATGGTGAGATTAACGTAGTGGACGTTTTGCGTATCCTTACTGCTCTAGAGGACAAACTGGGATCGTTAGGCAAGTTTATATCGTACCCTACCATTTGTTTGTTGTAGATTTATTTAGCATTAATGCTACAATAACAATATTACGCGGTATAGCACGATATTTTATGTATTGAAGTCTACAGATTTTTATACAAAATTCTGGTTTTCCGTGAAATATTTTTTCAATTTCCCGTTGAACATTTTCAAACTGGCACACATCTTGATATCAATACTTAATGTTTTTAATTCGTTTTGAAATACTCATTTGTTTGTTATATTGCTATTACAATTTGGTAAATGAAAGTATATACATTTTTCCAAATGATTTGGTAGATGATTTAAGATGATTTTCATAGATAGCTTTATTTTATATTTTTAATTTTGAAAATACAGTTTCGATTGCAGTGAACAAAATAGTATATACAACAGCGAATATACAAACCATTTTATAAGCTAAGCTAAGTGACGTCACAGAAGCAACGTACGTCTCAATTGAATAGAAATGGTGTTTAAGCAAACTTAAAAAGCAGTGTTATCAAAATTATGTTCTCTATTTACATTGACGAACAAATTGTACACCGTGTCCCATTGCAGTCTCTGGGCAAGATGGTAGTGACTTTCATTTCATGGTCAAGTGAACATTTTCAAATACAAGCTCCCCTTTTTCACACGGTTGATTTGAAAAGAGGGGCAAATTTTACGATCTAACATCATCCTGGCCATGACCTACACCGTTGTCTTCAAGGTCTAATCAAGACGTTAAAAACAGTTTGCTCTAGCAAAAATGTTCGCAGAAGTGTGACCTTGACCATAACCTTCAAGGTCAAGTCAAACTGTCCAAAGGAAACGTCTCATTTTTATATTGCAAATGGAAAAGTGAGACAATTATACGTTCAAATGTTACATTGACCTTTAAGGCAAGGTCGTTTCAAGCTTGAATGTTATTTGAGGTCAAGGTCACATTAATACGTAGAATGTCCTACTTTTCCCATGTCCAATTTAAAAATAAGAGATTGGAAGGATTGACTAGACATTGAAGGTCAAGGTCACCTTTTGTAATCCCCACAAATTTCACAACTGTGTTATAGCAAATTGTTTTCAATGTCTTGATTTGACCTTGAAATGGCCTTGAGCGGGTTCCTGTGGAAATATTGATCCGACCTTGAAGGTCAAGGTCATGTTTAAAGTAACCTTTAGGTGATACCCACATACCTCACATCTGTACCGTCGAACATTTTTCCTATAACAAATTGTTTCCGATGCCCTGATTTGACCTTGGAATGACCCTGAGAGGGTTCCTTTGAGAACATTGACTTGAGATTGAAGGTAAAGGTCACCTTTGGGTGATCCCTACAAATTTCATTACTGTGTTGTCGAATATTTTTGCTATAACAAATTGATTTCGATGTTTTAATTTGACCATGAAATGGCCTTGGACTCAGTGGTCATCGTCGTGGCCAAAGCGATGCTCGGAAGTAATATTTGCTCCTTTTTTCAATTCTGATGTGAAAAAAGGAGTGTTCCATTTGAAAATATTCACTTGACCTTGAAAGGTCCTTGAACACAACCTTTGTTTGAAGCTTTTTTCTAGAATGCTCCGTTTTAGAAATATTTAGGTGATGAGTTAAAAATGACAAGGTGTATAAATTAATATCCCGCTAACACTGCAGTGGAAATCAAATCATCAATTGACATTCCTCCCCAGGTCCGAAAGTGATTGATCTGTTAGCCCAAGCCCTATCTCTAGAGAAGAAAGAAGCGAATAGTTCCGAGACCCTCCTGGATAACGACATAAACTGCGTCATCTTTGAAACGGTCAAAGAAAAACTGAAAGGCCAACTGATCGCCGGTTTGGTAGACATCGTGCAAGAACGGGCGTTCAAAAAGGCGATCAAAAAGACTGCTGGTTTGCTTCATTTGGCCAGCGAGAGGAAGAAGAAACGGGGGAAAGTAGGACACCGAGCGAATCCTGTCGCTGTTCCAGGTGTTGGGGCCGTGGACAAGGCCGCGATTGCCAGGCAGATTGCGAACGCGTTGATCGCGCAGGGGAAGACGGACGTCTCACAACAGGAGCTTGAACAACTCATTAACGCAGTGGTGAGTTACTTTAGTTTGATCTAACATACCACTTCATACCACATTTTTTTGACTTTTTTATATATGGTTTACCATAAACAACTTTTTACCAACCGTTTTTGATTGATTGCTATTAATTTCAAGAAGAACCAAATGCATCCTGTATTTAAACATGGATTCAAATCTTCTATCAAAACAATAGCTTTGAAGTTTTTTGAAGTGATTTATGCACGTTGATCCGTAACTGGAATTTGTAATTATTCCCAAAGCCGTTTTTTGTAAAGTGAAAATTTTGCTAGACGCTACTGAGTTTCCCCAGAGCATTGTGCCATATCTAGTGTGACTATGGAACATGCTGAAGAACAAATAACGTACACAGGATCTTTAAAAACAATCTGCCATGCAACCGCGAAGCCTCGGTAACATTTCGAAGACACACCGTGAATTAAAGTAATACGGACAACTCCGGTTTTTCTGTAAACGTGTGCCTTTTTTAGAACCGATGTGTAAATGTTTTATTTACAAAGCAGCCAGCGCCTGGATTGAGTTGATCCGCATCGTCCGTGTTCACGTTTGATCTGATTGAGGTGCAGGACTGGGTTAGGTTTTGCTGTATATTATGTTCCTAGAAAGAATCTGCAGATTTTTTCCAAGATCTATACGCCGTTAAAAGAAAGTCCCAACTTTGAGGATACCCTGTATTACTATTTTAATACGTATTAGGCTGTGGAGCTGTGTCTTTGGCGGTTAATCCTTTGCATACCATATTCTGCAGATCTTTTTTCTATTTTAAACCTCTCACGGACCAAAAAGCGTCCCTTTCATAGCCACCAAACTACTCCTATTTGATTTTCATCCACTTGTATTACATTCTATAACTTACTGATAAAAATTGTTTCCAGGTCGGAATGGCGGAAGCCTCAAAGAATTCCAACAAACCAATGACAACGGCGGCTTTTGTGTCTCAGATCTCTGGCGGTGTGGCGAACAGCAAAACACACGAAAAGGCAAGCGCCCCTACTAACCAAGGCGTCACAGATCTCGATAAACTCACCGAACCTTTGACTCCCAGCCCTGGAAGAAACTCGCTGAGTAATATGGAGAACCTCTCGGATTCTGACCTACAGACTCTTTTACAAAACTTCAAGGATTTGTCAACGGACGAGCAACATAACCTTATCAATTATCTGAAGAAAATGGAGTTACAGGAGCCCGAAAGAGTGGAAAAACTTAGGCAGTACGTCAATTTGGATCCTTCTAAGGAGGAGGAGGATAGTAAGAGCATGAAAAGTCCGTTTTCGAATCGATTTGCTGGTGCTAACCCTGGCTCAGAGGACTTGGTTGATATAGAGTCAGATGATGATATGGACGACAAAGGAAATAACAAAGCTCAAGAAAAGCAACAGGACAATGCAAATAGTAACAATAAAGTTGTGAGTTTAGATTCTGACGAAGAAGATTATACATTCGAAGATGTGGTGAAGTCAGTTTCAAAGACAGTCAAAGCTAAAGAAACTGAAACGAACAAGAAAATAGTAGAAGATACCATGAAATTTGCTAGTAATAAAATGAAAGCGGATGAAAATCTTTCAAACGCCAAAGATTTGATATCGAATCTTATGAGCAACATTAATAAATCTAACACATCCGACAAGGTGGATCTTCTAGGTTTAGGTTCGTACGTGCCGGTATCGAAAAGCGGCACTTCGGATTTATTAAATAGGTCGGATCTGACAGCGACTTTGAGTAACATCAACATGTCGAATTTAGCTAGTATTATGAACAGTGTGAAGAATTTCCCCTCTCCAAATGACAATATGAATTTTAGTCAAGCAGAGCAACCTTTGAGGTACGAACCTCCCAATCGTATTTCCCCAGATAGGAGAATAGGAGGTTATGGGCTCGGATCGGGAGGTTCAATAGGCCCAGGTCCACAAAGACCTATGGGAATGACCCCTATGATGAACATGGGGCTCAGAGGGCCGGCTAGACCGATGATGGGTGATATGGGGCCTAGTCCTGGCGGATTTGGTAACAGGATGCCCTTCCAAAGACCCCAAGGTAATTTTGGGATGCTTCAGCAACATAGTAATATGCCGTTCTCGAGAGGTCCCGGAGCGATGGATCCCAGAATGGGGAACCCGAGATTTGGAGGTTATGGGAATAGATGGTAGGATTTTTTATATTGTATGATTTAAACATTGTGAATCTTTAATTATAGACATTAAAGCGTTTACCGTGTTTTATTACGGTTTGTGGTTCCATCATATATAAAAAGTAAAAAAAAATACATGGTGTCCCAAAAGTATGGACACACCCAAATATCTCAGAAACTAAGGGTGTTCTAACACTGAATACAAAAGGAAATCAAATGGTACATCTAGTGGTGACCGTGGATTTGTTGATGGACAAGTTAATTTTTCAAACTGAAACCTCCATTTTTTATTGCAGAAAGCCAGAAAAATCTTGTTTCCAACGTTATAAATATCTTAAGGCCTAAAATTAGATCTAGAGGTTATTTCAAGGTCAATTGCTGCTCTTTCATGGAATTTTGTGAAGCAGCAGATAGCTGGAAAAAGAGGAATATTAAAGAACTTTTTATGCGAAAATGTTTTCACATGGAAACCTTCAATTTTGATCTTAGCGCTGAAAATGCAGAAACAATTCATGTTCAAAAGTCGTTGCAATCTAATCCACGAAAATAGGCCATTTGACCTTGATATAACCTCTAGGTGTGATTTTACCTCCATTAATTAAACCTTCGAACATGGGATTTTTCTTCATTTTTAGTGCTGAGATCAAAATTGAGGGTTTCGTTATGAAAAAATCAATTTGACTTTCAAGGTTAGAGTGAAAATCTCTTATCAGATGTAATTTTCGCTTTAAAAGTTCTTTAACACATTGGCTGCCACGACGGGCGTATATGAGCGACAGTAGTAAGTTGTTTAAGGGCCACGTCGGACATATGGGGCCGACATTATAGATTTTACGCCCGGCCGCGTCAACCGTATATGGCCGACGGTAAATAGAAATTTACAGTATATCGTTTCGGGTTGACCTCCTATGAAGTCTAGGTAAATCTCGGCAGGCGATATCTGAGGATCAGGCTTTCAAAAACAGTAGTCCTATTTAACAAATGTGGAAACTAGAAAGTCTAGATAATAATATATTTTAGACTATTGCTCCCTGGTTGTCCAGAGGTTCATAAAAACCTGGTTATGCGTTTTGTTTTTCTTGAACCTAACGATTTTTGAAAGTGTTTCGATTAAAAAGAAAACAGGAACGAGTTATACGTAATCAGCTTTATTCACAAAAAATGAAATAAAGTAAAAGCTCAAGTTCAATATATATTCGGTAACATTCGTTTTTTTATTGGAAAGAAATTTTTACAAACACGTGGTCAAAGAATATACAACATTTTACTGATATTTTCGTAAAATTTTGTTTGCCCCCATTATTCTTTGCAAAGTAAAGCGCATGGCAGCCAATGTGTTAATATCATTCTTTTTCCAGCTGCTGCCTCACATTGCATGAAAGAATAACAATTGACCTTAAAATAATCTCTAGATGTAATTTTTGCCCCTATAATTATACCGTTGAAAAGGATTTTTTTTGTCTTTATATTTCTGCAATAAAAATGGGGGTTCCCATTTATTAAATCAGCTGGGTCTTGAAATGACCTTCAAGGTGAATGTCAAGGTCAAATCCAAAGTCACCACTAGATGCGGCATTTCATTTCCTTAAACTTTTGAATCGTACGTTTGTTTCTATCACCCTGTATATTAATGATAGATCTCGTCAAAAAGCGAGTGGAATTAACTTGAAAAAGAAGTGATGCATTTCTGGTATGTATGAACATATTCCATCCGAAGATACCCAAAATAGACGCTGGAGGAATTAACGATTATAGTGCCGTCCATGAGACATAAGCAGAACCAAACATAGATTTCTAAATGTTTTTTTTTTATGTTGTGCCACTATCTCACAGATGGCACTGACATTTTTCATTTCCACTTTTTGGGCGCCAGAATACCGTATATTGTAAGTTAACTTTAGGTAGAATATGTTAATCAATGTCCATCTAAAATCAAATTCAAGCGAAGAACCAAATGAAAATGGTATTTACCGATCCGTTCAAGCGAGTGTGGGGTTATTAGTTTGGTTATAAGATCCGTGACGCCATGAATCAGCTGTTATATGTCCGTTATCACCGTAAAACTGTGGTATTTACCCAACTCCTGAGTAGTTTTATTTTCTGGTTATTATTTGAAATGTGACAAGTTTTGGCGGGTATTGGATATTTTTGTTGTACTTCAGCTTCATTTTTTGTAAACTTGATACATGCTGACTTCAGTTGTAGCATAAAGTATAGCATCTTATGAGTTATACTCATTACTGTTGTTGGGGATAACTTAAATCTAGTTCCTATGCTTAAAAAAGTATCCTGTGTAGCCATATACCACAAGAATATTAAAATATGGTCATATAAACTCACTGGATAATGTACACCTGTATACGGTTTTGCTAATATATTTTTTTCATCGCTTTTTCCTATCATTCTGTTAAATCAATAAATTAATGTTTTCTTTAACATGCAGAAAAGTTTAGAGAATTGAAAATTATCATAGCTATAAAGCCATGGTTCCATCATTAAACATTTTTTTCTGACAAAAAAAACATTTCTGCCATTAATATTATGACAGGTTTCTCCATACAGTGTTGTAGACAAAAAGCACCGTTTATTAAGTGATAATAAAAATAATCATAAATTATATGCGCACTTTTCTATAAGAAACAACTTGAAACCAAACGCGTTCAAGCGATTCGAGTAACTGACGTAATCAAACCGTGTGTCATGTTAAACCATACTATAACCGTGGTACATAACACATAAATTTTGGTTATTCGCTTGGATTTGATTTAAGTTTTGATAACTGGCAGAGCATTTTTATAATCTCTTTCATTGGAGCGAAAATGGCGGACAACAATGTTATGATCCAGAATTTCTTTACATATGTATTCTGCGTTACGCTGTGTTCTATGTTTGACCTTTGGCGGTAGGTGTGATTTTTAGGTTAAGTTTGTGGTAAACAAAAATTTGCCTTAAATTTTGTGGAACAAGAAAGAAAATAAGAATTTGTTAAATCACTGGGATGGCGGACGACATAGAAAATGTTTGTATTACACACTTTATGACCAACACTCGGTAACTCTACGATATTTTAGATTCCCGCAATAACTGTGAAAGAGCCACTAGATTTGGTCCGGTTGAGTTTGGACGAAAGAATTTACGTTAAAATGAGAAACGACAGAGAACTACGAGGTCGACTACACGTAAGTACTGTCTCTAAGGATTAAGAAATATCATATCAGTTAACACATTAATGCATTTTGCAGGCCTATGATCAGCATATGAACATGATCCTCAGCGATGCTGAAGAGACTGTAACATCCGTTGAAATTGACGAAGAAACGTATGAGGAAGTATACAGGACCACCAAAAGGAACATTCCAATGCTTTTTGTAAGAGGAGATGGTGTTATACTTGTCTCTCCACCAATGAGAACTTCTTAAGATTGTAATTGTATTGATTAGATGTGAAGCCTGTTTTGAGGTTCATTGTAAAGAATTTGAACTGAATAGATATTCTTAATATTTCACAAACTTGTTGTTGATAATTCAAAATCCTTTGTTAGTATAAATTTGTACCACCTTAAAATTATAGGTTATCATTTGCTGTTATGGATGAATGATCGATTCTTCAAAAGTATCTATTATTTGCCATCTCTAGCCCCAATCACGGATCGCAGAACCAAAGACGAGGTACTTTGACAGAACGAAAACATCAAGAAACGTATTCGTATGGTGCAATGATGCCAAGTGTATAATGTGCACCAGGAAAAGTTTAGTTTTTGCATTGAGTATTGATTCAAGGTGAACACAAATCACAAGAAAATAAAATATCAGATCTTTATCGGTCATAATGCATAAGTACAAACATAAACTATACTAAATACAGGTAAACTTGGATAAAAAATTAAATAATATGTTCCACTAATACTTAATAAAAAGCAAACATAATAGAATTGTAAAAGTCTGATAAAAATATATGTAGAAAATAAAAAATACATGAAATGTTAACATCAATACAAAAAGTAAAACAAAACAATTACTCAGATTTGTCATGTTGTAGCTTCTTCAATTCTTTTATCCTGTTGAGTATAATCTTTCCCACATCATAGTACTGTTCCACGCCTTCATTTATGTAGGTATCTGAAAAATAATGCAATTTAACTACACCTCAATTTTAAGTTACCACTGATTCTCACTGTCAAAATAAAACAGTATATAGTGGATACCAAATAAAACCCGATGCACGTCATCGATCTGGAGCTGTGCGCTGTTGCCAGAATTGATATGAGCTCTTTACACCGACTGTTAAGTTGTTTTGGCATTTTGGATACTTTATACCACTTCACAGTAACTTTTGTTCTGAAAAGAACAACTTTTAATTGGCAAGGCAACGATTCAAAGCTCAAATAGCGCAAAACTCACAAACTAAACAATAAAGAACTAATAGTACGACAAAAGGACAATGGCAACTGATGTCAACAAATGAGAAGTGGCAACCTCACATTTCTCTGCACGGCACTACCAACCGAATCGAGACGGGGAAATTTAAACTTCAAGTAGAAATGTCACATTGAATGTAGTCAACTGTTGGTAACCATGATTTTTATGAATGACATCACCTATGACGTGCATCGGATTTTATTTGGTATCCACTATACTACTGATATGTTCGTTGATCTGGCAACATAGCGAAGGTGACATGATTTATAACAATTTCGCGCGCTTTACAGTTTTGTTTTTGGTTATGAGTTTATAGTTTTTGCAAAGTTTAAAAAATATACTACCCTTGCATTTTGTTAAAGTTTAAAAATATAATTATAAACGAAAACATCTAATATGGAAACAGCTGAAGAAACCCAGTCAGCTGCAACTGTTTCTAATTTAGAAAATGAAGCCGACTACGATGATGAAGAAGAGGAGGAGGAGGAAGACGTGCCAAAATACGTAGAAACCGACTATAAATTCGACGATTTCATAAAAAGACTGCCTCACCCAAAAATAGTAAGAGCTTGTGGCTTGGCTTTGAAAAGATTCGACACAAATACAGTCTACACAAACCAATGTATCGTGAAATTATTACACAGAATATCCTTCGATTGCAAAATGTATGCTATGGTCTTCCAACTAAGCATATTCAGAACATTTCAAAGGATATTCGCAATGAAGGACTTGCCGCAGTACAAGGAACTGGTCAAATTCGCGACATACATCATGAGACAGTTCTTCAAGGTGGCAGAAGAGAATAACAAGGTTTTCGTTGAGGCGCTATTTTGGAAATCTAAGAAGGATGCTTATGAAATTGAAAGCGGATATGGAAGCTACAATGAAAAATCGACAGCAGCATCGAAAGTGTGGTCAGAACAAGAAGAAGATGAACTACGCAGGTAGTGTTAATATAATAAAAAAATCGTCTCATAATCTAGGCCAACCTGGTATGCATGGGAACGTCTTTTTTTAATAGCAAGGGGGTTTGGCACCAGTGCCCCAATTAATAGTTTGGTGGAGGGCGCGGTTAAGAAATTCGCGAAATACAGAATCTCAGAAATTCTGCTAGCCAATGGGGTTGGCTCCTCGGTGGTCCCCTCCCTGATGCCCGACTTTGGCTTCCTATCCTAACCTTGTCAAACGTTGTACATGTAGAACTGCTTGATACGACTGCTTCCAGGGTTTCAAGATTGTGGTACAATCTACCTGAGGAGGCTGTTCCCAGTTCTACTAACCTTAGGCAATTCAAAAATTGGGTTAACCAGCAGCTGTGGTGCCGTGGTATTTAGGCTTTTGCTTGCACGGCTACTTTGGTGTAAAGGAAATAATTATGAAGAAAGTTAAGGCACAGAGTAGTTACATCAAGAAAAGACATATAGAGCACATTTTTTGTTACATCACCGCGTACGAATATAAGCAATTTGAGGTTAGATAACTTATGAATTTCAAGCTAACGTATTTCTTTTATTACTAAACTAGGTCGTATAGTATCCCATTTAGGACCCTAAAAGTTAAGTAGCTATGTAATAACTTACAGGTTTTGAAACAAGATAAGTAAATTATGTGATGAGGCTAGCGACGTAGCGTTCGATCTGGAGACACTGGAGGCGCTGGGCTTACAGGGGAGACAGGGGAACATGCGATCCGGCTTCAGTACAAGTTTGAACTCGCTCGGGTCATTTGGTTGTCCGTAGCGATTATGTTTTTGTAAAACAGTTTTTTCTATTGTGTTCTGAAAAGTGACAATCCATTTCGAGCAACGGTGTGCTATCAGTTTTGCTTCAGATGTTTAAGGCATTTTCAGAAGGGAGAGAGTCGATTGAATACGATCCACGAAGCTGAAGGTCTTCATCTTTAAAAACCAATTAAAATATTGACATAATCCGGGATCTTGTGCGTTTAGATCATCGGTTGGCAGTCAGAATGATCGGGAAAGAATTAAATTTGGCTCACACCACCGTTCATCAGATCAAGAACAACACCGGGTGTTGCACAACGATGTCAATAAACGATTTTTTGATCAGTAAAGCCTGCGGCCCCTCAGCCTTATCACTTAATTTACTGAACGAAAAATATATTTGTCAGCTTGCAAATGAATAATAAATATCTCCACCATGAATAAAAGTCCATACAAAAGGAAAGGAAATTTGAACAAAAATTGTTCACTACAAATGACGGTCAATGAATTCATTCAAAAAAGATTATCTCTGGCATTTATTTCCGACTACAAAGAGAAGAGGCGTGTTTAGAAGCCATCAGCTGTGAGCACCAAGTTTTATCCACCTTGTCTGACTTCTCTTTATATATAACTACTCTTTGGTTGAGGTGTGACCTTTCCTTGGACTATTTCGTACTCGATGAAAAATACATTTGTCGCTTATTCAAAGCGTAACTTTGTCCGCAGATTATTCATGGAACACCAACACAAACAAATCGAAGAAGACGTTGTCGACTGGATAGTTGATAACTTGATCGACGGATCCAAAACTCGAAGAATGGTGTTGAAGAAACTAAAGGAAATGTGCTTACTAGACGTTGGATACAAAAGCAAGAAGAAATCCGGAATCAGAAGCAAAGCACCTAAAGAATGGGGCTCCGACGAAGAAGAGCATTTACGAGAACTTTGGGAAGAGTTCAAGGATGCTATTGACCCGATGGGATGCATCATGGCAAGGCTGGAAATCAACAGACCCAAAAATCGCGTCGTAGAGAAGATGCTTGTAATGGGCTTGATCCAAGACAAAAAAGAGGTTAGAAAGAAGAGAGTCAAGTCCTCCAAGAGATCGTCTGGTCGAGGTAGAGCCCAACACAGTGACGAATCTTTAGCTAGCAGTTCTGATTCAGATCAAGATATACCTGCTAGACCTTCTTCTTCAACAACAAACGCTCCTGTCAGGCACTCTAACAAAAATGTCCAGTCTAAAAAATCAACCAAGAAAAGAGGTGCCGCATCCCAAACGTCTAAACCTGAATTGATCAAGATGATACTGCAAAACACTGAATCAGGAAGGCAAGAAGCTTTACAATGGCTTAAAGAAAGCTTCTCAGATGCTATAGAAGATTTTGAAGATGGGAGTGATGAAAGTGTTCCCTTAGTTCCAATAATGGACTATGCAATAACAGCAATGGACGAAGGCGATTTTCAAATTATGCTGAAAGGTTTTGGCGTTTGTGAACCGTTTGATGAACAAGAATCTTACTGGAGAATCCCTAGTCATTTGTCTATTGAAGAATTGAAAGACTTTTGTGACTTGCTTCAGCAAGCTTTAGATAATGCCTTGGTGATCCCAGAAGAGGGTGGTCCATCTACTCAAGAAATTGCTGGAGAGTCTTCTGATGAAGATTATCTCGATAGAATGAAGAAAAATAAGAGTCAAAAGGACACTATGCTTACAGGGGGTCAGCAAGATAAAGAAAATATAAAACCGGATGGCAATGTGGCAGAGTCAATGCAAATAGAACAACCTATTACTATAGTTGAATCCATGGAGACAGATCGAGAAATTGCTAATAGTCAAACCGATATGAATGATAGTGTAACTAGAAAAGGAAGAATTAGAATTTTGAGTGATAGTGAGGAAGATGAGCCCGGCAGCAAAAGAGTAAGGTCTGGATCAGAATCTAGCGCTGAAAAACGTACTACAAAGAAGAGCAGAATCATTGATAGTGATGATGAGTAAATAATGTTTTACATGTGTGATTTTTATAATGCTTTTGTAAATATAGTGCATATGCAAATAAATATATTTTTTCGATATGATGTTTTTCCTCTGATTCTATCTATTACAAATTAGAGCCTATAAGCCTACTTACCCTCATAATAAATGAGTTCACAATATTCATTCAAGTTGTTCTTCTCCAAGACAGCTTCCAGTGTCAAGTAAAACTGCAAGATTATATCTTTCTTATATTTTTCGTAATATACTGTAAAATAAAAATAGCATTATCTAGGGGGTCCCAGAAGTCGACGTTAAGCCGGAAACCTGGGATAGGCTTTTTTTTTAATATGTTACTGATGACTATTATGACCTGGCCTATCCTCCGTTTTCAGATTGACGTCGTGTATACTCTACCCAAATCATTTCCAAGATACGACTGGGCAAATCCAATCATTTTCAAATCTAATCATTACCCAAATGGAGTCATTTCTCGACAACACGTACCTGAATGATGGCCAGCTGCTCTGAAAACCTCTTTGAAGGTCCTCAAAGGTGTAGCATATTCGGCAGATACATATATTTTTCTATCACCAGAGGTGATTTTATAAACTGCGTTTTTATATACTCTGTTTTGAACTCCAGCTACAGTGATTAGTTTTTCTGGCAGAGACTGAAAAAAATACAGTAATATTGTAACGAAAAGTTTTCACTATTTGAAGTCAAATTTATTACTCTTACACTAATTTATAACAACAACTTATTTGTGAAAAATTTATGACTGGACTATGACATTCCACGTCGTTGACTGACGGCCCGCTCAACTCTGCATTTCGGCCTTCGGCGCAGCATTTTTATGTTCAAATTGGTCAATCCAGAGCCTTCTAGCGCTTCATCGAAGTTATCTAGATATCGGTGGATTCGTCTCTATTTTGCTGCAACGCTCTTGGCGCAACACTGGTTGCCTAAACGTCGCTATTGCGAGGGCGTCTCATCGTTACTCAAGGTCCCAAATGCGAGGGCATTAAAATACTATGACTATTCCCATCACCTATTAGTATTCTATCAAACGTGTAAAAATATAAAGAAATGTGAACTAATATTAAATTCTACTATTAACTTACGCTACTTTCATCGATGGACGCAGAATATTCATTCTTCAAGCTAGTGAAGCATCTCAGTGAAGTCGGTATCAAAATAAATAATTTGTAAATTGGAAAGTTTATATGGTGGCTATCCTCGTAATCCTGCATCAGCTCTTTCAAATTTTTTGATTCTGTACCAGTTCTCCGTAGTACCAAGTCCAGGTATCCATGGAAAAACGAATAAGCCATGCCTGAGCCGTAGTCCAAACCGTTGTTTTTCGCTACCCACAAGGAATCTTCTAGAGGACATGATCTCTGAAATGTGTTAAAACACAATCGATTGAAAGAAATAACTTGGTTTGGAAATTATTCAATATGACAAACTGAACATTGTTGCCCAAATCCATCCGCTTTTATGACTCAATTACTCAAATCCGATTATTATAAAAATTTGATTAGTAAAATCGAATCGTTTTTAATTTTCGTATACCCGAGTCGAATCATTTTCAAGATTGGTATAGACAGATAGAATCATTTTTTAGATTTGTATAGCCGAATCGAATCATTCATGAGATTCTGATACCAGAGACTAATCATGTTTAGGATTCGTATTGTCGAATCCAATCATTTTTAAGATTCATATAGCCGAATCGAATCATTTTTAAGATTCATATATCCTAATCAAAGCTTTTTAAGATTCGTACAGCCGAATCGAATCATTTTTAAGATTAGTATATCCGAATTGAATCATTTTTCAGATTTGAATACTCGAGTCGAATCACTTTTAAAATTCGTATAGCTGAATCTAATCCTTTTTAAGATTCGACTACCCGAATTGAATCATTTTCGAAATCAATTTACTTAGTTCGGATCCTTTCTATGATCCGGATACTCCAATAAATCATTTTAAAAATACAATTATCCCCATTGAATCATTTTCAAGTTCGATTACCCAAACCGAATTGTTTTAAAGATTCCGTTACCCAAATCGAATCAACAAATCATGAAGCGTCGTAGGACCGAATTCGAAGTAGAAAACGGGTCACTTGGGAGCCCTCAAGGTTTACTAACAACGAATCAATATCAGATTCGGAGTCTACGCATCCTATTTATCTTGTTGCAACGCGCTTTTCTCAGTGTCCGCTGTCTTATGAATAGAGGAAAGTTGCGATGCGTTGTTCATCATCCCAAAGATGAAAAACCAAGCCTAGAGCATGCTGATGAGTGACCGAAAAGAGCGAAACAGCTGTCAATGGTTGGCGGTTTTTTGGTCAGATGGATTGTCAAGATTGCAAATATACGCCTGTAAAACTTAAAATATACAGTTGAATTACTTACAATATTTAGCAATTCTCCAAGGAGATACACTGATGTGATTAGAGAGGCACATTTTGGGAATGCGATACTATCAGATCTGATTTCAGCAAAATATGCTATTAACCAAATAACACAGATCACTGCAGTACCAATCGCTTGAGGTGACAAATAATATGCATCTTTGAATAGCCTGAGGTAGCTATTCTCATATCTAGATATTACATACTTCATTTCTTCCCATACGAGGATACAACGATGCAGAATGTGGAGTATAATGTAAAATAGTATGCTAACCGCAAACTGACCTAGAATGGATTTCATTTACTATTTAAAGACAAAAATGATCTGGGTGAATATACGGTAATTAGGATTTCAATGTTCCGCCAAAAATATCTTATGTAAATCGACAAACAAAAATAAACCATCCACATACGAGTAGTGTAAAATAAAATGCTTTATTTGGTGCATATGTAACCAGTAGATTTAGGCACAATATGCTTGAAAATTAACAAAATGTATGCTCCCCTCTGATGTGCTCCATTCCCAACATATCACGGGTTTCTGAAAATTATGACGCCCTCATCAGGCGCAATTCAAATTGCATATCTTCGTGTAAATCTGGCATTATCAAGAAATCATCGTTTAAAACTAAATAGCAACATTTGGCCTACTGAAACCAGGAACGCGTCAGTGCTCACATTATTGACAGAAAACGTTTTGCCAGTGGTTCCAGTATTTACTCTGGTAAGTATATCCTTGTGAATTTCAATGACACATTACTGAAACCATATAAAATACAACGATTCTTGAATATAATCACTTACAATAATATAATATACAGGGTGTTAATTAAGTATGTACCATAAATTTAACACACGATGTTTTTGAGTAATTTTAAGACAAAACGTACATGAGTCCGCAAATTCTTAGTTCTCAAGATATAGGCTGGTAAAATTAAAAAAAAAGTTTTTAAATATCCTTTACCTAATTTTGTTGTAATTTGGCGGTGGTATTTATAACATTAAGGAACTAATTTATCCCTACCTTGATTAAATTTATCAAGTCCAGTGGCGTCTCGAGAGGGATCTGAACGAATATTTGTGACAAAAAAATAAACGCCACTGAGTTTGGTGCAATTTTTATTATGTTCTTTGGATTAAGCAAACAGAAATACAACATTTTTGTCTCTTGAATTGTCTTCATATATTGCTTAGTTTTTGAGAAAAAAACGTCCACTTAATTGCATTTCCCTGACCACACAAGGAATATTTGGAAATTTTTGTTTATAATTTTTTTATTACTAATTATGTAAGCAAGATACGAAAAAAATTAAAGAGACAAAAAAGTTGTATTTCTATTTGCTTAATTTTATAAAAATTACACAAAAGTCAGTAGCATACATTTTTTGTCACAAATATTCCTTCAGAGACGCCACTGGACCTGATAAATTTAATCAAGTTAGGGCTAAATTAGCTCCTTAATGTTATAAATACCACATTACAATAAAATTAGGTAGAGGATATTTAAGATATTTACGAAAAACCTTTTTTTTAATTTTAACACCCTGTATCTTGGGAACGAAGAATTCGCGCACTATGTTTGTATACTTTTTATCTTAAAATTACTCAATGAGACGTCTTTTAAATTTATGGTACATACTTAATTAACACCCTGTATACAGTGGACCTCCGGTAATCCGACAAACATTATGCAGGGCAGTGTCGGACTATCGAATTTGTCGGATTATAGAGCACTGCCTTTGAAGTACAAATCATACATAGTTTATGTATGTCGAATTTAGTAAATTAAATAACAATATAGAGCTTACGTTTTATTATAAAATTAAGCAAAAATGCACATACATATGTACCAAAATAATCAAGAATTTATTAATCAAAATCATTAATGAATTTATCAAATTATGAAGCTTGGAAATATTCATCAATTTTTTTTTTTGATTAAGGTTGTTATAATGCGAGATGAGAGCTTTGTCCCTCAGTCTTCTTAAAAGTAAAAGTTCGTTGTAGGATGTAGGATGTCTTCAGCCCATTGTAAACCTAGCTCAAAGGCGTTAATTGCGTCTTGTGCTGTGACTTGTGGAGCAGTTGCAATCAGCATGAAAAACATTTTCCTCTTTATCCATTTCACGGCACCAGATTTCCAAATCTTCCGGACTTATCTGTGTTTCAGTAGCGACTTGTTCTATAACTTCCGAAGTAACACTGATTTGTGGAACATTGCTAGGAGTGGTGACTATATCTGGCCATAACTTTTTCCAAGACGATTTATTAGTTGATGACGGTAACGCATTCCACGACTGACAAAGAGTAAAAACCAAGTCTTTCATATTAAATTCTTTTAAAGTTTTTTCTATTGGTTGGTCTTTTGATACGGCTCTCAGAAGTAGGTTTTTCTTATAGTCTTGCTTGATAAACTGAATGATATTCTGGTCCATTGGTTGAATCAGCGCAGTGCAATTTGGCGGAAGAAACATCGCAGTGATGCATTTATCCTCAGTTGTTAGTTCATCTTCAGACGGATGACCGGGAGCGTTATCAAGAAGCAACAACGCTTTTTGGGGAAAATTATGATCTTTTAACCATTTTCTAACTTCAGGTACGAAGCATTCATCAAACCACTTTTTGAAAAGGTCTTTTGTCATCCATGCACTTTTTTGTCCGTAATAGTGTACAGGTAAATCAACGTTTTTGAATGCCCGTGGTTTATTAGATTTCCCAATGACCATCATCTTAAGCGCGTGTGTGCCCGCAGCGTTAGCACATGGTAGTATGGTTACACGCTCTTTACTTACTTTTCGTCCAGGTACGGATTTTTCGTTACAAGAAACGAAAGTTTTGTTAGGCATCACACGCCAAAAAAGCGCTGATTTGTCTGCATTGTACACCTGTGACGGATCAAGATTTAAATCGTTCACCTTTTGCAAAAATCTTAATTTAAAGGGCTCTATGCAGGTGGCATCGTTAGAAAGTTTATCTCCTGTAATAGTCATTAAACGTATGCCATGACGACTTTTAAAACGTTCTAGCCATCCTTTGCTGGCCACAAAATCATCTTTTTTTGTTATTTAAAAAATCACATTTTTCTGTAATTGTCCATGTTTTGTGCTTTCGCTTCTGAGTTTGTGATGACATTACTAGGTACTATACTTAATATACAATTCATTGTCAATTTATTCATAAATAGTAAACAATGAACGCACGCTAGGCCGTACCGCTATCACCAGTAGTCAAATTCAAATTAAGTAAAACAATGCTTACGCGTCGAGCACGATAGCGGTGGTACGTACAAGTTGTAACCTGTTCAAACCTGCGTGATCTACATTAGCGAAGATTGTCTAATACGTATGTACGTAATACATATTCAAAGACATGTCGGATTACAGGGGGCGCCGTATTATCGGGGGTCCACTGTAATCTCTTTTTTTTTTTAAAGGTCATTACATGTTTGTCACTACCCCGCCAGTTTCCATGTTTTTCACCCTTCACCTTTTGTCATTTCTTTACAATAGTATAAGCAATGGCTGTGTGACCCAGTAACAAACAAATTCCAGGCTTCTAAACAGATCTGTTTCCTGAGGGTTTGCGAGTTCTCAGTCTATATCGGCCGTGAATACGCAAAACCTCGTATTCGTATGGAGAAATGTATAATTACAGAGTGAACAAATAATTGGCTCATATCTTTACTTTCAGATACTCCACGAAGACAGTATTATATATGGGAATAGAATTACTCGTAGTTCCTATTTAATGAAATATGTTATTTTCCTTCAAGCTTTTCAATTTATAAAATGTATGTCTCATACGTGGTTTCGATATGCTGGATCAGCCACTTTTTTCTTATCCGAGGTTATGAACTGAGGTTATAACATAACATAATACTTAGAGGAATGAACGCTTATTACATAAAAGTACTATAACGAAATGGCTTAAAACTATGAGTCCATTAATTATGTGGAAGACCCTCATAATATGACCAAAAAGCAAAATCCATTTTTTTCTTAAGGATTTGTAGATGTTCATACTTGTCGACCTTAATTTTAAGTCTTTCAGTGTACTGATTGGTGATTATGAAGATATCTGATAAATTTGGCCTTTTGGTGTAATGACTCCAATCATCAGAATGAGCAAGTTTGTAAAGGATCTCCCCCTTAGGCTCATATTTAAGAGAATGGGTATCTGAAACAGTCTTGTCTCCTACTTTGTAACCTGACCTGATGTTGGTATAATATGTGATACTATATATAGTCAGATTTTGGAAATCAGTGTAAGATAAATACTTCACAATAAATGGTTTAGTTGGTCAGGCTTCTCTGCACACGTGAATGTAATCTGTTGGCAGGTATATATCTTTATTTTTCAGCTTTCTTTCTATAAGGCTGTGGGCACTGTCTACCTCCATTTGAGTGTTGACGATAGCTTCTCCTGTTTCAAGACCAATGGAACTGTAGTTTTTAATAAAGAACTATTGAATTTATTTAGCTAATGGTATTTAACCCTGCATTAGGCGCGTGGATACGTGTGACGCTGTTGGGAGTGTGGGGGACTGGTGTCAAGCATTTTTTAAGTGCCAAATTTTTGCAAACAAATGTTTAATAGACAATGAAAAATAAATACATACAAGTGAGATTCACTAATTTTTATTACATAGAGAATGCAGGGTTAAAATGTCATCCTCCTGGAAGCACTTTTTCCCCTGGTGCCTATAAAGATTTTCAAAATCAAAATATCTGACCCTATCAGATATGCACCAGATAATGGCATAATGAATATGAAAACAACATAAGCTATTTTTTTGGTTGATACTGTAAAACCAAATACCATATATACCCCATCTACCTACTCAATGAAATTATTTGTGGAACAATTTTTTCAAAAATAAATAAGTTGTCTAAATTATAAACTGACTTACCAATAAGATTTTTTGTTCCCTCTTCTGCTAGGTAAATATCAACTGAAAACAGAATTTATTCATTTATAGGGTCAAAAAACCGAACATGTTATGCCAATTTAAAATGATTCAATTATACTACAAAAAAAGTCATTTCTAGATTAATATACATATACAATTTCCTATCAATAAGTGCAAGGACACACTGTGAGGTTTTAAATTTCTCCATATATTTTTTCTTGCAATATATTTTCACAAAATTCTCTTTAAGTATAGGAACATATTCAAGAAAAACTGTCTAAAGTAATGAGTTCACGTTTGAAAAACTGAGTTACCTGCAAAAAGCAAAATTATTGCAACCAAAGTTAAATAAGTTGCAAGTGGTTCTCTCTCCCTAGGTATTGTTTTCGGATAATAATACTTATTATCTGGCCTTTTTCTCACACATATCTAAAACCATTTATCCATATACATGTTACAATCAAAACTCATAAGCAGACAAAACCACTTTGACTGCAAAAATCAGCCCAAAGTAGTTTTGACTAAGGACATTGGACAAAATCACTTTTAACCTCAGAAATTTTGGCAATGGTGATTTTGACTCAATTGTTCCGGTCAACAGTGGTTTTAACAAAAAATATGTTAGAACTGCTTATGACGGGGAGTAGTTAATGAAAATCTTAGGTGTTTCTGAGATCGATTTTATCAAGCAAATGAAAATTTTATGTAATGCTAATTTTGAGAGATGAGCATTTAATTTAATTATCACAATATTTGTTGTAAAATAAAACAAATTAGATAACCTTTTATTTATCTACTAAAACATACATTCGTAGTAAATAAGAAAGTGCATGGAAAAAGATTAATACAAAATTTAAATATCTATGATACTATTTATGATATTTGGAATCACAACAAAAATGTAGTAGAATTAAAACCAGTTTTGACTGCAAATCATTTTTTACCGATTTTTGTAGTCAAAAGTGTTTTTGACCAGTAAGAAGTTTCAACTGTATACTTACTGACTTGTATGTTTTGAATACTTTTGGATCAAAAGTCCTTGTTTCACCTTCTTGACCTGAGGGAAGCATATTTATTATTTTATTCATGATTTCTCAGTTAACCTTTCTGCTTGAAAGATATTATTTTCTACATACACCTATTACCATCTATTCCTGAACACAAATAGTAAACATCCAAACACGAAGTCTGTATAATATGAGTCACTTATGATTGCAGATTATGTGATGTTTATAAATATCTGAAAACCATAACAAAACCGAGCGGAAACAGAATTCGCAATCTATTTCGAGAATAAATGCATTACAGCATTTTTATGTACCTTTCATAACTCATATGGTCACCCAACGTCCATATCAGAATAATTAATCGTTTAAATTGTTTACATGTTGCTGTTTTGATAAACATCAATAAAAAATCATAAATTAGAACTTTTGATAGAGGTTGTTGAGCTATTTACGTTTCGAACGAAAAACTTCATAATTATCAAAAACTGTTAAGCTTTATCAGATGAAAATTATTCCCCACCTACTTAATACCTAGACTTTTCATTACATAATTGGTGATCTTTAAAAAACCACATGTTTATCAATGTTTATAACAACATAAAAAGTAGATCTGAGTTTGACATCAGTGAATAGTCTGACTGACACACACTTGTCAAGAGGCCATAGAACAAGAAGCTAAGAAACGCTGACAGATGTCAATTGTCACAGAACACAGCACCTATAAATCAACAACTGAACTAATATAGAACTAGACTGTTAGTCACAAGCGTCATCAAAAGTATCGAACTTTGACCCATCTCTACGTCTACTACTTCAAAATGTCACTGTCGCCGACCTGTCAATAAAATAAATTCAGGAAGACATGAAGGTATTTCATAAAAAAATTTATAAATAAAACATTTTCTTTAAAAATAGACAGGAAGAGTCCGAGCCGACGGTCAACATGTAGCATGGGCATTCCAAAAAAATGTCAAAATCAATCGTGGGTACAGTGAAAATCAAAGCAACATGCACGCAACTGCTCAAAGAAAACCTGGACAGGATTTCAGTGCTTTTTTCCGCGATTTTAAGTGAAAAATGTGCGGTTTCGGAGAAAACCAACGATCAGGCGGTGTTATACGATGTCTTCTTATCGGTACCAGAAGATACGGAGCGAGTACTCAGCCCTGACTTCATATCTAGGTTGCAGGTAAGGATATGCACACAGAAACTAGGCCGAGATATATTCAAAACTTTAATAAACGGATTTGACCTGTACGTGCTATCGGGGCCATTGCTTTTACTTTTCTTCGCGGCTTGTGTGTGGATCCCAGCAAGATCCGTTTCGCACGGTACACCTTTTCTTTTTTCGTCCATCCTAGGCTGCCGTGAAGAAACAATAGCTTTATCGCGATGCCTTGGCAGGGTTTCGAACAGTTTAAGTTCGTTGAGTTATGATTGGTGAAAAGGTGTACGGTTTTGCAGTGAGAGGCTGATAATTTGAAGGTTGAATTGTATAAAAAGAAGCATCCTGGTCCAAACAGTTGTTTCCTAGTTCTTACGTCACGTCGCTAATTATCATTAGAAAGCTTTTGTCTGTTGAGTTTTTGAGACCTTAATTGCTGGAATTATGTATTAATTACGCTATCAATATTATTCGGATATCTAATTAGTTGTATCTCTATAAAAAGGGTATATGTAGAGTGTTGAATAAATGCAGAAATAAATTGTGTGTCTATACACAGCTAGAATCAATGACAATGACAAATGAGCAGGCAGCCTACAGAGTTAGTTAGTTAATAGTATAGCTAATAGCTACAAGCTGTAATTAGCTATAGTTAACAGCTACAAGCTGCAGATAGATTATTGACAGTTAATCATATAATTATAATTAATAGTTAGGAGCTGCAATTAGGTACAATTGACAACTACGAGCTGTGAATAAGCTATAATTGACAGTTACAGGTTGAATTTAGCTACAACTAGAATTTGTTGTAATTAATATCTACAAGCTGTAGCTAGCTATATTTTACAGATAAAAGCTGCAATTAACAAGCTGCAGGTGAGAACCACAAGATGCTATTAACCTATAATTAACAGCTATGATCTGCAGTAAGCTGTTTTTGACAGTTCAAGCTGCAGCTAGTATGTTAAAACCACAAATTGTAATTTGCAAGCTTCAACTGTGTACTGAATTTCTCGTAAGACAAAAAAATTTGAGCATCCAAATAGTGTGAAAATATGCAGGGTGTTCCATTTGAACACTTTGAGGAATCGTTCATTTTGCGTTCTCGACAACTATAAAAAAACGGAAAAAGTAAGTGGATAGGGAGAACACCGGGATCATAGAATTTTTCTGACAAAAAATTCAGTACTCTAGCTATAACAGTTGCAGGCTGTGAGTTATCAAAGTTGAGTATTTTTTTCCCCGATAGATTGTCGAATATTTTGAAAGAGCCTGTCCAAATGTGCTATAAAATATATTCAAAAAAGTGTAAGCTTGGGTTACCATCTGGTCATAAAATATTTCTTATGTAAGGAGCATACTGTAGGCTACAATTTTTTTAATTAACTTCCCGACCGGGCCCACACTAAAAACTCAGCCTGTATAAATTTCCCGGAATTTTCGTCCCGCTATATCTCAATTTTCCTAGATTGCCGAGATTTCCGTCAACATGGCAACGTCGCATCCCGTTGACCCGGATCTCGTTGAGCGCTCGTGTTGTCTCGTCCCGTGTCCCGCACCACTTTAGCCGGCTCGACGACATCATCTGCGTCAGCCAAGGATGATAAACAACAAATCAACTGATGGCCAACTGCGTTTTTATCAATGTTTATCTTACGGGTTGCCCCTTACTTTTATACGACTTGACCAGCCGTCGTTACCATCCAGTCAGCCATGATCGTCGTCAATTGTTACCCATCGATAACTTTTATGACACATTTACATTTGACAAGCGAAATCTCCATTTTCTTCTCTCCTCATGTTACTATTGTATGAAACTTGGTACTTTTAGAAAATTTAGTACGCTGAATCCCGAATATGATCGTTGAAAAATCGTAATGTGTAGTGAGGCCGAATTTATGTCAGGAAATGGGAGGCTTGAGACCGCCGCCGTGAGGCCAACTGTAAAAATGACGTCAAATTCGGAATGTGCGCACCCGATTTACTTAGAAAACAAGTCCAAATCACTGATACTGTGTTTTTTGAAAATGTATATATATACGAGGGTAGGGTGAAAAGTTATCTACTTTTTAATGAAGCACTGCGATTTTAAATTCAAAAATGATTTCATTTTTACTTTATACGCCACTGGGCGAGGAATTATTGTAGGGGAGACTAGGGAGACTTGTGACAAAAAATGAATTTTATTTCTTATAATACATTATACAATTTGCAATTCAAAGATTACATACAGGGCAAGTGAATTGTGTGCGATTTAGCTAAACTTGCCATAACTGTGCATGCTTCCAAAATATTATTCGAATTGTTTAAACGTATTTCAACCAAATGGTGTAAATTGTCGTCAGGCTCCCTACGTAAGGGAGTATTGAGACAAGCTATAGGGAGCACTGAGACATTGTAAGCTTTTCAGAAACGTTTATTAATTGTTGAAGAAATAAAAAATTAAGAAAATTTACAACGCAAGAAGTTTATTAATTATTAATCAACAAAGTAAACTATTTTTTATTAATTATTGAAAATAGTAATGACAATAATCAACGAACATTTTGATAATAACGGAAGCCGTCATAACCCAGAAGATGGTATCTGCTAGTTTCACATTTTACAGGAGAGGTGAGAACGTGTTGTAATCCTTCTCAAATTTTAACGGTTTAGCGAAAAGGAATGATTTTGTTAGTACCCGGTTAAAATTGATAATGTTTTCTAACGAACTCATTAATTTTTCCTATGATGCCTATCTATAAAAGTTTTATTTATTGTCTTTGTTCAAAGTAATTTCCACCTCATGTAATACACTTCTCCATCCACCAAAACCAGCTCTGCCAAGTTTCACCCGGGAGTGCGGTACACTCGTCCCAAGGTCCTCATCGCTAGAGAACCGTTTTCCTTTTAGCTTCATTTTCACATGTAGAAACAGTGTAAAATGGCAGGGAGCAAGATCTGGACTGTAAGGAGGGTGCTCAATCAGTTTATGTCCAATAGTGGTTAAATATTTGATGCAGGCTTTGGCGAGGTGAGCTGGAGCGTTGTCATGGTGGAGGTATCATTCTTGACTTCAGCCGCAGGTTTTTCATAGACTCTATGAGTTTAAGTAGCGACTGTTCCGGGTACCACTTAGCTGTGACTGTCTTCTGTGTATCCAAAACGACACGCTCCACAATCCTGCTAGATTTGAAAAATACAGCTATCATTTTTTCTTAGTATATCGGGATTTTGTGACAGCTACGGGTGCGTCCTCATCATCAAAGATCCAAACTTCGTTTTTAGGCTTGGTCGACACATCGTAATAATAGTCACCTGTCACCATACTGTTCACATACCGAGACTGCCCCTTATCAAACATTTTCAGCAACTTTCGGCACCAAGTCGTACGACGAGTCTTCTGCTCTTCCGTCAGACTATGCGGTACCCAGAGAGAAGTAAGTTTCCTTACGTGTGAATGGTCATGCAGAATTGCATTGAATTGCATTTAGGTGTAAGGTCTCCTCTATCTGTTGGTATGTCACTCTCCGGTCTTCGTCAAGCATTTTCCTCACAGCAGTAATGGTTTCCTCTGTTCCTGACGTTCGCGGCCTTCCTTCCCTCTCAGCGTCCCCCAAAGTGAAATTATCCCTTTGGAATTCTCTGTACCACCTGAATATAGTCATACGATGAGGACAATCATTCTTTAATGCAAGCGTCATTTCTTCTAAGCACTGGTCTATGCTAAAACCACGCGTAAAGTTATACCGTAAAACTGCCCTTATACCATTACGTGAGCACGATGCCATAGTCCGCACTTTACACTGTCAATACGAATGAACAACTATAGTCAACGCCAAACAAAGTGGCGTGCACGTCATCACGATAAAAATTCCCCGACCTAATGCCTAGGTTTCTATCACAAACAATTGCTCTATTGCAGTTTCATATTAATGTGATATATAAATTGTAAAATGGTCATTACTCTCTTATTATGGTTAATAGTCATATAAACATTGTTATTAAAATATCACATAAGTTGCTTTCTGATAAATTTAGACGCATTATGCGAAATAAAATGTTTTGCAAACGCTCCAATCACTTATCGACATGTAAACGCACTAAACCGATTTCGCAGCGTTGACACATTGTCACCTTGAAACTTATTTAAACTGGGAACTGACATTTGTATTAATTTTGACACTGAATCAATTTGTGGCATTTCAAATCTTTATAAATCCTTTGGCCCCGCATACTGTAAATCAACAACTGTTTGTTTCAAAACAAAATTATTCATTTTACGAGTAGATAAAGGCAATTTTGGTATATAAAGATGCCCAAACAGTTAAATAGTCGGTGTAAGGAACTCGTGGCCTCGTTAATGCACTACTTTGAGCAAGAAAAGGACAACAACGGGCCTTTGTTGCCTTTAAATGCTGTTCAAGAGGTAGGTTACTAATAATTATATGTAATGTATATTAATAATAGTGAAATTTTATTTCATTTTTTGTAGCGTGTTGCTGCTGCTTTAAAAATTAGTTTAAGTACAGTTAGTCGTATTTCCGAGGGTGTGAAAAGTGATGCAAATTTATAATCGCCCAAGAAAAAGCGGAGTTATATTAAACGTGTAACCAACACAGCGACATTGGATACAAGTGCCATTCGAGAAGTGATCTATAATATGTATCACAAAAGTAAGATCTTATTATAATAACTTATCAGAAATTTGCATTAAT